AGCCATGGCTGTTTCGATAAAATTTGCTACGCTTTGGCAATGCTGTTGTCTAGTTAAACAAAAAAGTAAACTACAGTAAAACACTTATACTTTTCTATTCTAGACAGACTAATTTGTACACCTTTCAGTAAACATTTCAGAATCAGATGAAATGCTGGATACTTTGATGTGCATCAAAATTGACAGTTTTATTGATTACTTTGGCATACATCCCTTTTTTTCCCCATAAAATGTATATATTTCTCAGCAAATAAGCTTGTGTTTTTTCTTGAGTTTGTGTTTGTTTTCCTTGTACCCTTTTTCAGTGGTGCATGAATGCATATTTTTAAATGGAATATCAATGACTTTTTCCATCTTGTTAAGAAAATATGAAAATAAAGGGAAAATTAGCATGTATAAAGGGGAGATAAAAGCCACAGAATGATTCTATAACAAGTTCAGTAAAACTTGTCTTAGTCTCTTGTGAACACCTATGTCTAGTGAACACCTCTTCTCACCACATTCTCAAGTGAGTTCTGTTTAAAATTGCCCCTCTGTAGTGAACACCTACCTTTAGTGAACACATTTTTGTGGTTCTATAGGTGTTCACAGTATAGAGATTTTACTGCACAGCTGTATCTTTCATATCATTGACTGAAATCCTCTGTAACTGAGGATCATCCCAATCTATAAGTAAGGGGTATGTCAATCTCCATTAATGCCTCCAATCTATTTAACTTTTGACGCTATTCGTTTCATTATCCCATCGAACGAAGTTCGGAGGGATATAGGGAACGCCTCCGTCCGTACGTCCGTCCGTACGTACGTACGTCCGTCCGTCCGTCTGTCCGTCCGTCCGAGCAATAACTCAAATACCGTTGGCCCGATTTTGTTCATATTTTGTACACATATACCTTATGGGGGTAGAAGTTCTGCTCGAAAGCCGATTTTCAAAATGGCCACTCATTTCAAAATGGCGGCCATTTTAGTGCCGATTTTACAGTAATTTAGGTGCAATATGTAAAACTGTTATAGCAATATGTTTTAAATGTAAAAAAATTATAAAGGACATTAATAATGCTACAAATGTAGATATTAAAGAAGCACATGGCAGCCATCTTGAAAAATGGCGGCCTTTACTCGTCATTTTACGATTTTTGCTATAACTCAAAAAATAGTGGAGCGATTTTGTTCATATTTGGTATGTGAATACTATAAGCATTGTACACTGTCTAAAGACACTTTTGGTAAAATGGTGAAAAATGGCCGCCATTTTAACGTATTTTACTATAACTCGAAAAGTAGTGGAGCGATTTTGTTCATATTTGGTATGTGAATACTATAAGCATGGCACACTGTCCTATGACACTTTTGGTAGAAGGCGGCCATTTTGAAATTTTTTTTGAAAAATGGCCGCCAGTTTAACGTATTTTATTATAACTCGAAAAGTAGTGGAGCAATTTTGTTCATATTTGATATGTGAATACTTTAAGCATGGCACATTGTCTAATAAAACTTTGGGGAGAAGTCGGCCATTTTGAAAAATGGCCACCATTTTTATGTGTGTTATTTTACAAGTATGTGTGCGATTTTTCAAAAATTTTAGAGGTAGCTACTGAAAAGCATATTATTTCTTCTGATGACAACTTGGCTAGTGAGCAAACATTTTGAAAATGGTGGCCTTTTCTGGTGTGTTGTTTTATGATATTTGCTATTCGTTTGTAAAAATGCCAGCCATTTCTGTTCGATGGGATTCGCTACGCTTTGGCGTTGCCGTTGTTCTAGTTGGATCTATCTTCCCAATTAAATGTGCATTTAGAAGTCAGTAGTAGCATCAAGCCATCAAGTCCTATGCTTACTATAATCTAGGGATTACTGAACACATTTGGCTCAAATCTGCCAGGACGGAAGAGTTATATAGGGATCTGCATCATTCCATTTGTGTCCAGTTGCATTTTGTAACTTAGGGAAACCCCTGGTCAGGGGGGTTTCACTAGAATAGTGAAAATAGTGAAAACAACAGGCAAAATCAATGGAAATCATTTATTTAACATGGAAAATTTGAAACGTCCCTGAAAAACAACAGCCGATTTTGTGAAAACAACATGAAAATCACCTGTTGCTAATGAAACCCTTGAAATGAAATACATGTAGGTACACCCCCTCCAAAAAGTTTGTAAACAATTGCAATCTAGTTTCAGTCCCCTCCAACATAATATACTGTATAATGGTTATATGCGCACTCCCCTCCAAAAGTTTTTTAGAACAATTTTAATAGGTAAATTCCCCTCCCAAAAGTTTGGAAACAATTGTATTAGGAATACTACCCTCTAAAAGTATGGAAACAGTTAAAAAGGAACACTCCCCTAAAAAGTTTGGAAAGAAATGTAGTAGGTACACTCCCTCCAAAAGTTTGGAAACAATTGTAATAGGTGCACTCCTTTCAAAATTTTTAAACAATTGCAATAGGTACAGTCTCTTCCAACATAAAGGTGCACTACCCTCCAATAGCTTTTAAACTCTCCAAATTTTTGGATATTGGAATGTTGGAAGTTATGCATTAATTTGAGAGAATTTCAATGCAGTGAGTCAAATTTTTCATAAATGTGCGAATCGGAGCATTATTAGCCTACATTGGCACAAGATATACATTATATGCTGGGTATATGTTATTTTAGAAATTTTATAACATCATTTTATATACAACTACCTGACAGAAGCAAATAACTACCTGAAAATTGGACAGGTAGTTATTTGGCACCAGGCAAAAAATGTGAGTTTCGAGGCCTGACTTTACTCCTCAAAAGTGCAAAAACTTAGCTTCTTGTATAAGATAAGATAATCACAATATAGGGGATTGCAAAAATTTCGGAAATTCGCGGAGGTCAAAGCCGACATTTGCGGGACTTTGCGTGACATTGCGGGACACGCGAATTAGCCTAATTTTGATCAAATTCGCGGGATATTCCCGCCATTCCCGGGACACTTGACAGCTCTGCTTCTAATATATTGGAACTGCCGATTGTCTGGGTTAGTTGGCAGAACAAGGTCTTTTTGTTTCTTATTGCTCTTTTGGTCGAAGTTCGATTAAGATGGCGGTTATAACGGAGTTTCCCGAACTTTTCCGTAATAGCACGAACTTGGTATTTCGTTACGTCACTTCCGTGTAAAATGGATTTGTTTCCGGTAAGAGGGAATTTCGGACACTATTTTCAATATTTACTGCCATGTCGACATCCTATGCTCTTAACTGTATACCGAATGGTTAAACAATGTTTCTTACCGGAAATAAATCCATTTTACACGGAAGTGACGTAACGAAATACTAAGTACGTGCTATTACGGAAAAGTTCGGGAAATTCCTTATAACCGCCATCTTAATCGAACTTCGACCAAAAGAGCCATAAGAAACAAAAAGACCTCGTTCTGCTAACTAACCCAGACAATTGGCGGTTCCAATATATTAGAAGTTACATTTTGAGTTCTAGAATGCATTGAGGTAGGTTTCTTAAGTGGAAGGGGCATAGATAATTCTCCCAAGTTGTAATCGTACAGGCAAATGTATGCGCTCAGTACAGGACTATAGTCCTGGTACGGGATAACCAGGCCCCAGTCAATGGGTGATCATTACTCGAGTCTAGCCAATACTTGGCTAGAGGTAATTTCATCTGCAATACTGTGAACTCCATTTGAAAAAAGCTGGCCCCCGTGTCATAAATTTATTCAATATTTTAAAAATCGCCAGATAAATAAATCATTAATTAAAACGAAAGTGGCTCGGCTCCTTGATGAGATATGACATGATTTCGTCAGGATTTCGTATAAAATTAAAACAAAATGGCTCCAAGAAAAATGGTGATATTCAAAAACTGGACGAAATGTCGTTAATGTCTGACATTAGTAACTGGCTGTAAATTCTAAGTTAGCGATCCAGAAGATTTGAACTTAAATACACTGGTCACTTCATGTGTGTTTTGGAATTTTTGGTGAGGTAATAACACCAAAACTCGCAATTCAAATTGTGATGTGGAAAAATGGCAGACATATGATTTATAATTTTATGATTACGACATAACCAGTCGTTCATGCAGGAATTTATCTTTGGACGAAGGCCACGATACAGTGGCCTTAGAACATGGTAAGGTGATCAAGCCTTTCATGGATTGCCTTTCGTTCAAAATATCTGTCAAGGGGGGTAGGAAACTAGAGAAATCTACCTAACCCATCAACAAGTGCCTACCAATGGGGTAGGCTGATTAAAAAATCTGCTTACCAAAACACCAAAAATTAAAATCTGCTGTTTGTTGTATGTATTTATCGTTAGTGTTGTCGCGATGTGCCATAATCGTACATCGATGCATCGGCAATTTTCAGTAGTAAACATCGATGCACATCGCGATGTACATCGAGAAAAAGTTCGAGAAAAGTGCACTGAAATACCGAACGCTAATGCACTAAAATACCGAACAGAACAAATTAATAAGAGTAGGCTGGTACATCCGGGAATTCTAGTAACGGTGAAATGAAAGTAAAGTAAATTTTTTTAGATTAATTGTTCATTTCGACTAGCTAAAACAGTTTTAAAGCGAAAGAATATCAGAAAACATTGGGAAATGAAATAAGACATGAAAAAGGTAAGCAATTTGCGTCAAAATAAGATAAGAAAGGGCGATTTTTAGCAAATTAAATTTTTTTAAAAACATCGATGTTTTGTTTCAGACATCGATGCATCGCCAAAACCAGCTTTGGCGATGTATATCGCGATGTATCGATTAATCGCGACAACACTATTTATCGTCATCATCAATTTGAAAATCACAGTCAATGAATGTTACCGCAGATATCAAAGTTGGACTTACAGACTTGTCCAGATATTGAGGACTTAAAGTGAGATACTGAAATCTCTGTGCTGAACTAGAGTCCTTTCATCAGACGTTTCAGTAGTTTTTCTCAAGAAACAAATAAATAATAGTTTATTGCAGAATGTCCACATTTCGTATATATTTGTATATATATTTCAGAAAGGTGATAAAAAGTATTTCAAACGAGGGGAACTTGCTGCCAAACAAGAAGAGGAATATTGGCAGAAACACAAACGATACAAGACAGTAAGTTCAATTAATATTTTAAGACCTTCTACAATGTACATGTACTGTATATCCAACTCTCTTCTCTCTAATATCTGACTATTTAGAAGAGTCACTGTCGAGAATGATATTCAACCTTTTAAAGTTGCAACAATACACGTGTATATATTTCTTTCTCTAGGCTTTTAGTATCAAGTGTGGATGTTATTTCAAGTAAAAGATTGCCTGATTTGTATGGAAGTGCCTATAATATATTAGCTCAAGAACAACTTTAACAGTACAGTAAAACCTGTGAGAGTGAAAAGGTGTTCCATTTATCAGAGACATATAAAACATTACATTATTATATGTCTCTGCATTTATGAAGGTATTTCACTTTCAGAGGTTGTTCCTTTTTCAGAGGCGTTCAACTTCACAGGTTTACTGTACAATATTCAGGGGTTTCACTAGAATTCCTCACAACAGGCTAAGTAAATGAAAACAACAGGTAAAAAATAAAATTAACATGGAAAAGTTCTTAAAAAACAACAGGCGATTTTGTGAAAACAACAGGTGAAACTTGCCTGTTGCCTGCTGCTAATGAAACCCCTGACATTGGTTATTGAACAATGAAATCATTAAGTTTATATCTGTGCTTTATGTTGCAACCTTAGTATTGTTTCAGGAGCACCCAACACCTAGTGTAAGTCGGCTACAAGATGAAGAGAAGGCAGACAGTGGCAGTGATACGGAATCTGGACTACAGCTCCCTAGGAAAGAGGTGACTTATTCTGAAAGCATAATGATATATATATAAGTCATCCTCTTGGTAATGATGCTTACTTAATAGGCAAATTAAAAGGCACTTAGATAAAGCACTAACAGATTTCTACATGCACTATTATGTATCTGAGTGTTATTATCCCAACGAACAAAGTTCTATAGGGATAAAGTGAAGCCCTCCGTCCGGCTGTCTGTCAGTCAGTCCGTCCGTCTGGAAGATTGCTCGAATACTAGTCGACAGATTTTCTTCATATTTAGTGGAAAGATGTATATTGGTAAATAGTTTTACGCAAAAATTTTTTTTAAAGATGGCCGCCAGTTTAAAAATGGCGGAAATTTTTCGCAAAAATCTTATGTTTTTCATTTTAAACCAAAATAATAAATATTATCATTTGAAATTTTGGTAGTATATTAACAACATCTATCTAGGGCCCCAGGGGCCGTAAATGGGGGATTGGGAAAACAGCAATTTGCGTTAATTTTGAGATGTTTTTGAAGTATACCTTTATTATACTCAAATGAAAGGCAATTTAGAGTAGATTGCAAATATTGTAACGTTTTTCTGATTCGGGCCTCAAAAAATTCAAAATGGCTGCCTAATGTGGGATTTCGCAATTATTTTCTGATCTCTTAAAAGTATGGCCATATTATACTCAAATTGAAGGAATTTCAGAGTAGATCACAATTATGGCATTGTTTTCTGATTTGCGCCGATTTGGCTGACTAGAGCAGAAATTCGCCATTACCTGGAGTTATCTTGAAAGTATGGTTACATGATACTACAATGATTTAAAATATTTATTGAAGGTAAGAGTATATGGTAAATATTACATTGTGACTGTACAGATTGATTATTTGTATAGTGTTCGTTGGGATTTGCTACTCCATGGAGTTGCCATTTTATAGTTTTTATATTGAAGAGGCACATGATGATGTTTTAACCTTCATTGTCTGATTCTGTATTGAATCTTAAGATCTTATGCATTGCATGTTACTTTGCATTGTAAGTAACCTTACCTTGTATGCTATTCTCATTGTAAGTTTGTTTTCAGGTGAAGAGACGTCTCAGGGAGAGAGGGGAACCAATCAGATTGTTCGGAGAGTCAGATCTTGAAGCTTACCAAAGACTCAAAAAGCTTGAAATTTTAGCACCAGAAATAAATAAGGTAACTAATGCTGTACTCCAGGTATAAGGTAACTAATAAGGCATTCAAGGACAATGTGTTTTACTAAATGACAGAATGTATGCACTACCCAAATTTCTAACAGTAATACTTATTACTTTAGTTGGAAAGGAAAAATTTAGATTTTCTAAAAAATTCTGGGCAATTTCAAAGCATATCTTGAAAAGAATATTTTTTTGTGTAAAAAAAATCCATCCACTAGTATTCAAATTATTTTCTGGACAGGTGGATGGACTCTCGGACCAATGGAGGTTTCACTATATCGAACTGGTGTATAATGAAGGAATGGTACTTTAACCTGCATAAACAATGTTCTCTGATCTCTGATTGGCAATCAGAAAATTTTGCCAGAGCAGAGAAATATTGTAAAAATGATAATTCAGAATGAGAATGACCTGATCTAAAAGTGAAACTATATTTGGCTTTTATTTGCAGGGTTTTAGAAATGATTTGAAAGCTGCTATGGACAAAGTGGATGCAGACTACCTTACTGAGATCATCAAGACTGGTAGTGAACAACAGACTAGTAATGCTTATGATGTGAAAGTTAAAGATGAAGGAGTAACTGAAGAGGATCTCAAGGTACTTCTTTAGAACTGTTAAATCATTAACTAAGGTGGAAATTTTAAATTTTAGGTACAGTGTTGATCACCATTTGTTGAAATTGCCCTTCTTCAAGATGCATTGGACCGATTTTATTCTCAGTTTAGGCTCAATATTTGATTCTATGAATGAGAAGATATGATATGTTTTTAATGTGACTTTTCATTATTATATTGTTATGTTTTAGGTTTGGTGCCAGGAACTAGGTGATGATGATGATAAAGGGCAAGAAATTTTATTAAAATATTTTAAAGTAAGTACACTACATAATTGGTTCTTACTGTCCTCTTATTTGTACTGTATTCTTTATTTGCCTCTTATATAAGACATAATATCCAGATATCTATTATATATTATACAAATATTTAATTCTATTGAGATGGATACCTAGCTGTAACTCTTTCACAAGTGATATTCGATGAAGCCTGAATGAAAATAGAATTAAATATTTGTTTTATTATTCACTGCTACATTCCTCCCTTCCTCACTCACATTTATGGAATAACAAACTATTGATGTCAAATTAATCATAACATTGTACTCCTGTATATCTGAAATCAAAAGTACACTGGACAAAGTCCGACTGGTGAATATCACATGACTTCCTTTGAATATCGCTTGTTATTTTTTAGTCACATGTAGGACAAAGACCAATCAGAGAGTGAGGAAAATGACAGTGATATGAAATAGCTTTTATTCTTATTAGAGATCCATTTAGTTTCACAAACTCAAACTTAAGTCAATCTATTTTGAAAAAATAAGTTTATTATTAGGCAACTATTCTAACTGTTACTGCATAATGTTTTGATACTTTACAATTTCAGTATATCCTTTACCTATGGGGATGTGAATTAAACAGAAGACAAGATGCAGTGAAAAAATCTACAAAAGGCAAACTTGCGTCAGCGTTACAATCCCAAACTTTAGAATATTTAAGACCATTGTTTGTATCTCTTAAAACAAAGGTAAGTGTTTCCTCAAATGCACATCAAAGCTTAGGTATTGTGCAGTGAGCTTTCAACATAAACACATAATGGCTCGAGTAAGTATAAATGACTTAATTAAGTTTTAACCAAAACCAGAGCAGATTTAATTCAGCTTACAGGATTTATTCGTGGATTATTAAAATTTCCAAATGTGGTGACATAGTTGTATCCATGATTTTTGTGACCACCATTTGCATTACTCTTCAGATCTCAGTATCTGTAACATTTGTTACATTTTATAATCATTTGCAGTACATTTTTTCGTCATAATGCCTTGTTTTCTTGATGACTTTCTCTTAGTAAATGACACATATAGCATGTTTGTAATATGTTAGCTGATCTCCACTTCTTTCTTTTTTTTGTAGTCCACAGACAAAGACATTCTTCACAGTCTAATGTTGATAGTTAAAGAGATGCTACAGCGGCAGTACCTCAAGGTGAGTGGCCATAGACAGCAACAAAAGTTTCAAAGTTGAAATCAATCATGTGGTTCTTAAAAAGTATGTTGGACATATTTGCAGTTGTTCTTGTATGAAAGGATGGTATGTTTGTATGTGTATATTGGTGCACAATTAAAATCATGGGGACCTTTCAACAAGGGTTTTCTGGCTTTAAAGAACATATAGCACTCAAGGTATTTCTCAACCAACAATAAAAGAATGGAATAACTAACTTTAAATATTAAAATAAAAGTATTGTATTTGACTTGATCCAGTCTTGGCTAAACAATTAAATAATTCTAAATATATTGCTTACCTTTCTTGAATTTCAGGCTAATGATTTATACTATGAAATGGCTATTGGAAATGCACCATGGCCAGTGGGAGTCACTATGGTTGGCATTCATGCTAGGACTGGGAGAGAAAAGATCTTTTCAAACAATGTTGCTCATGTACTCAATGATGAGGTGCAGAGGAAGTACATCCAGGTGTGTATGCCCCGTTATTCACTTTATACACTGAATATGTCAATATTAGTGGATCGACTGCATTTATATAAAGCTAGAGCAAGAATCATTTATTTACAAATAATCCATCAGTGCAGCTCATCAAATATAACATCTCAAGAAAGATCCCTGATATCCTCTAAAACACTTTGCATAATTTAAGAATGAGCAACAACAAATGTGGATATTTGCATATTAGACTACATAACGAAAACCAATATGAACACATAAAATGTAAATGAAATAAAAGAGCATGAAAAATGGTTGATATCTAAAAAAGATTCTGAAATTGAAAGAATTAAATTGTTTGTGTTGCAGGCTTTAAAGAGACTAATGACCCATGCCCAGAGATTCTTCCCCACTGACCCCTCTTTCTCTGTGGAGTATCAGCCTACAATACATTGACACTGTAGACAGACCCTCCTACTCCGTGGAGTACCTGCTTACAATAGATTGATAATGTGTTATAACCTCTTACTGGAGTACCACTGTACCAGCCTACAATAGATTGACACTGTAGACCCTCCCACTCCTTGGAATACCAGCCTACAATAGATTGACACTGTAGACCCTCCTACTCCATGGAGTACCAGCCTACAATAGATTGACACTAGACCCTCCCACTCCGTGGAATACCAGCCTACAATAGATTGACACTGTAGACCCTCCTACTCCATGGAGTACCAGCCTACAATAGATTGACACTGTAGACCCTCCTACTCCATGGAGTACCAGCCTACAATAGATTGACACTAGACCCTCCCACTCCGTGGAATACCAGCCTACAATAGATTGACACTGTAGACCATTCCTACTCTATGTTATCCAAATTACAATAAGCCACTTGTTGGGGAAACTGGTAATTACCTACTACATGTACTATAGGTGACTGCAATCAAGTAGTGACATTTCGTCATGTTATTGTTAATATCGCTGGAAAAGATATGTGGAAAGAGTGTTCTAAAGTAACCATAAAATGAAAAGGGTCAGAGGGTGATGCAACAAGATCAGATTACCATATGTACAGTGTAGCACCTGCTAGTGCAATAAATAATCAACATCAAAATAAATAATAAAAACAATACAGTTTTGTTGGCTTGAAATGTTTATTAATCTTATTCTGTAGAAATGCATACAAATTTTCAATGATAGGAGATATAATTCTTTTTAATACAATATAAGTAGAACACACACATGGAATACTCCAAATATTCTTTGAAAAAAAGTTGTATGACATGATAATTTAACCTAATAAACATTTTACCATCTTTCCTTGAAACATTACGGAAAGGGGAAAGAAACCCCTACAAAAATATATTTCAAAACAATCAGGACTAGATCTGAACTTATTTGTCTGTTGTTAAAACTCATATGTTTTGATGGAGCACATTCCATTGTACAACTAGTACAGGAGGAGTCAATGAGGATTCTTTCAAAATAAGATGAGGTTCCCAAGATCAAACCATAGTTTTTAGTCACCCTCCATACATCTCGAACATTCAAATACAGTGGAAAATACAATAGTCCTGTAATCCCAAGCTTCAAAATATATTGGAAAACAATAATCTTATCAATATTTTTTTTAGCTATACAAAGTTTTAGATACAAAATCTATAATAAACATGGATTTCATCATTCAATTAATATAAGCAACCACATTTGAAACGGACAAAGAACTTGAATTTATTGTTTACCATCATTGTAAGTATACCATTTTTTTCAAACAAAATGTCCTGTGCGTTTGGACATTCCCCATGGATTTTCCTGGTTGTGTGGTTCTAGTGTGTATTTTGTTAAGTATACCAGAAAGAACAGTTTGTAATTAAGGATAATAGTAGTATTTCTAAATTGTTAAAGTAATGTGACCTACCCCCCCCCCCCTTATAAACCTATACAGTTTTCTGTGTATGTTCAAGATGGTTGTCAATGATAATATGATGCGAAACAATAAATTAAGTCCAATGGCCTTACCAATTTACAGGGTTAGATGAAGCATACATGTATTAACAAGATATACTGCAAAACAGATGGAACTGGAAAAATGAACAAGGCATAAAACATGCAAAATGTCACCACCTGCCAGTTGTTACAGACGCCGACTGCCAAACACCAACCACAAAAAAGTTGGAGACTAATAATATGTCACCACTTGAATCGTGGTAATTTATATATTTGAGAAGTTCCCTGATCACGATGATACTATAAATACACAACCAATGAATATATGCCTTATAATATAAACAATTAATTAAATAAATGTTTGTAGTGTACATATTATGATAAATATGTAGTTGTTTTTAACAAAAAATTCATATATTTCTATTTATTTCATTTGTTGCTTCAGAGATTTATAAAATATAATGAAAACAGCGAAATGAAACTATGAATATTATCATACATTACGCAATAAATCAGTTCAATATGTACATTTACATCAACTGACATTTATTTCTTGGGAGTCAGGGGTTACAAGCCAACTCTTCATGCAGCCATGCGACACTAGAGATTGCTATTTAAAAGATTTGAAATTTTGGTCTAACCCAGTTAGTGGAATTGAATATCAAAAAATTACAGCTGTACAAAAGGTAATACCTATTTTAGGTTTTGAATTCCAAATACAACATGTACAATGCCTTACACTAATACAATAACCTTATGTACAACAGCTACAACGAGCTTAGGATGCACCATTTCAATATACTCAAATCACATGTAGTCTCAAATTGCCAATGAGCCTTTGTGAGGAAGATGACTTAATTTTCTAGTTTAAAGTAGATGCCAATGTCCAGTCGTATTCAAGACTTCTATTACCGGACAATCTCTCCAGGGACCTACTATCACAGGACAATCGTTCCTGGGACTTGAGAACCTGACTAGATGTTTCCCTATAAAGGAAATAGACCAGAGATATATGATCGGCACCATCTTTCCTCTATAATATAGGCCTATTATAAATAGAATATGCAGCGCAGGTAACTTTGTTTTACGTAATGTCAACTCATTATCATTGATAGAATACGTTTTTATATCACAATCAAGAAAATGATCCGTTTAGTTGGGCCAACATTTTTGTGACTGGCGTTTGACATCTGTAACATCATTTTGCCCTATTGAATTTTGGAAGATGATATTTACATAAAATGGTCAATATCTTTAAGCATGCAACTTGAGAGATGAAGTTGTTATGAAAATAACATTTACTGTAGAGGGAGTAACAAATATTGTAAAATATAAATTGAAACAGCTGAGAATGTGATTGAATGAAAAATTAGAGCCACAACTTAGTTCTTTTTATAATAGGCCTAGCAGACTAGAGGATATTGTGTGCAGACTGTAGATACATGCAACTAATACAGTACAACATAAAAGGTTGCAAGATGTTCCCCCACCGTTTATCTGACTTCAATAAGGTGATTTCAACAGAATTTCGGGACCCTTCAAAAGATATGTGATTGCCATGAAAATCCCATTAATAGTTATGGTATGACTAATATGGGAAGTAACATTATAGACATCACAAAAGAAAATTCAGACGGATGGATAACAGAATCTGATATGGGGGGACACCATGCAATTCACTGTAAAACATGCAATTCACATGCGTTAATTAAATGCGTGAATTCAAACCAAATATACTTTACAATAAGGGTGAGTAAATTAAAGCTATCATATTGTTGGATGACTGAGTTTTAGAAAGATTTGGTTAGTAAAATTATACAGTAAAATACTGGTATTTTGGCAATATGGCGAAAGCAACTAACTTGAATATTACTATGGCAACATTATCGTTGTTGGAAGCACTGAACAAAAGCTTGATTAAAGAAAGGAATAATTATTTCGCAAAGTACAAAAAACATTTATTTCATAAACAAAAGCCCTGTAGGATACAGGATGTACTCTGCATTTGTAAACATTGTGATGGGTTATAAAGAAATGTACCAATCCCTTTAAAATCCCATACCACACATACCGGGTATTTTTTTTATGGACTTTGAGGATGTCATGACGTACAAACAAGAAAATGCAGCAAACTCCTCGAGTCGAGGTCTCCAAGTCAAAAAAATTACTGACCCTATCATATATCTGTTGATTATCCTGTTTATAACTGATTCAAGAGCGTGGCACTGAACAATCTATATGCCTATTTGTTATTTGTTTAGTTGTTGGTTGGGTAACATGTTTATGACGTCACAAATGATGCGAAGAATCTTTAAACCAATCAGTGAAGTCTATATTAATTGTTTGTTTAGTTGTTGATGTGGCAATACGTGTATGACGTCACAGGTGATTGCATCATATTCCAGTAACGCCATTTTACGACATTGCATAATTTTAGCTGATTTTGGCTCCATTTCACTTTATTTGAAAGACTTTTAAAAATATAATAATGAGTCAGTATTTTTTATTATAAATATTAATATTTGAATTTGAGGTCAAAGTCCGAAAATTTGATCAACTGATTGAAATCACATTTTAAAGAGGTGAAGAAGTGAATAATTACAGGAGCAAACGTGATCAATGGTTCGAGGTCTCCCGCAAAGTAGTCGCTACGCTCCTACTTGCGCTGCCTTCGGCAGAGGAGACCTCGAAAAAAACTTTTTTTGGCTCTAAATAATACTGATATTGTCTTATTTCTTTACTATTAAATACAAATAAGCTTTAACAGAATAAACAATTGGAATAAAATATGACTTAAACATGATACATATGTTGAAGTGTGACCAAGTGTGAAATGTGTTTATACATATGCCATCAAAATAGTGAACTGTATCAAATTTTATAATACAACACAATTTCATCCATATTTTGATGACATACTGTGATTGTTGGCTGAAATCATCATTCAAACTAGGACCATATATTCACTTGATGCTTGATATTATACAATACAATACAGCCAAGCAAAATGAATAAATGACCAATTAATGTATATAAATGGACTAGACTAGACATTTGTATTTATAGTATGCTAAGAAAAAAATACAAAATATCTAAGATATCTACCATGATCCATGAAGCCTTAAGTTATGAACTGATTTACAATTTCGAAGATTCATTATTTACATCAACAGCAACAATACGATAAAAAGCAACATACCACACATACAGATCTAAATACTAAAATTGCATTAGCTAAAGACATATAGATGTCATCAGGTCTACATTAATGCCGCAAATTGGATTAGTTTAAGGCATATATATGTAGATGTCAGGTCTATATCTATGCTGCAAATTGCATTAGCTCAAGGCATATAGAATCTGATGTCAGGTCTAGATTTATGCTAAAATTGCATTAGCTCAAGGCATATAGATATCAGGTCCATATGTTTGCTGCAAATTGCGTTAGATCAAGGCATATAGAATCGGATGTCAGGTCTATATTTATGCTGCAAATTGCATTAGCTCAAGGCATATAAAATCTGATGTCAGGTCTATATTTATGCTGAAAATTGCATTAGCTCAAGGCACAAAAATGTCATGATTTGGCAAATGAGGTAAAAATTCTCAAAAATGAAAAATGTTTTTAGAGTTCTACTTGACATATATGGAAAAATCAGCTGTATTGAAACAATTTTGAAAGTCTCAAAACTGTAACAAAAAGTCTGGCAAAAAGGGTCAAGTTAAACACTGAAATACATGTATATATATCCTGTTATGTGCTAGTGTGAACACAGAATGCACATGTCGTATTTACAACTTGCTGAAAACCATTTAGACATACTGGTATGAATAAATTTGGATGAAATCACTCAATTCTGTGTAAAAAACTCTACTATCATTCCAAGTGCAGTTTGTCGAAATTCAAGAATCCGAATTATTGGCATTACAAATAATACTATCCAGGTGTACAATGTATTCCAACATATTCTAGCATGTCAGTGTATTAGTAATAAATCATTATTTTCTATGTTAATCTACAGTCCTTATGTAAGTAGATAGGTGGCTCATATATCTAATATCCTGGCACCCAGGTTAGTAAAACAGCTCATAGTAACCAGCATACTATACCCAACATCAACATGTTCAAGGGGCACGATCTGTATTTTGAATTTGAATTATTATTTCAGGCATAATAAAAATCACATGTGCTCAGGAGAATGGTATGTTCATTTATGAAGCAAATATTTTAATAATTTTGTACATAATTTACTCATTTGAACCTGTTCAATTTTCAGAGACCAAAATATTTTTGAGCTTGTCTTGGAAGGACTTATTTTCAAATATTTATATTCAAGAACATAAAAAAGTAAGTTCACGCTTCATTCTATCTATAGCACCAAATAGACAGAGTATCTACAAATTTGAGAGAATATGGTTCAAGTAATACAGATTGTGCCTCTTTGAGAATGAATATGAGAGGATTATAATGTCGTCTACTATACAGTCTATCAAATGTTAAGCATAAAAATGAAAGGCCTATACATGTAATGTAGTACATGTATACTCTACAGACCACTGATATAAAATGAGAGGCTTAATAAAGTCTATTGTACAGTCCACCAGATGTTAAGCATATGAGAGACTTATAGCATGTAATGTAGCCTACTGTACAGATCACATTATACTAAGCATGGATATGAGAGGCTTGTACATGTTATGTAGTCTCCTGTACAATCCACCAAATGTTTACAATGATTAAGAATGAGCTTATACTCGTTGGGGCTCTTGCTGCTGAGCAATCTCTGGTGTGTCCTCTGTAGTAGGCTTGGAGCGTAGTTTAAACCAAAGAGTCTCCTTCCACAAGAACCAAAGGTTGCCCACCCATACACCACAGTTCAGGAAGCCAAAGATCTGAAAGCAAATAGATGTGTTTTGTAAATAATGGATATTGTCAGAAAACTATTCAGTTTACAGTATGGACATATAAATATAGTTGATACAAATATTGCTAGCTGTGATACATCTCTCAAATCTTGATGAAAATATGATTTAAATCACAGAAAATGCTACTTTCAAATGATACCATTTTATGTTAAGGAGAATAGGTTTATATTAGTTATACTCAGTGATCTCCCTAGCATTGAAGTAAATAAGTGCAGCAGAGCCAACATCCTTAGAATTTGAAAATAAATTTTCACTTAATAGAATATTGTAAAAAATAAATTATACAGTGAGACCTGTAAATGGAACATCTTGAGAATTTGAACACCTCTGTTAGTGGAACACTTTTCAGAGTCCCAAAATCAACTAACTTATGTTAAATTAACCTCTTTAAATGGAACACTTCCTGAGTGAAAACATTTTAGAGGTGTTTCACTTAAACAGGTCTTCCTGTTTTAATAATGATGAACAGTGCAAGAAATACTTACCAGGGACACATTGAGGGTTGCAAAGTTGGCCTCATTTCCCCCTTTGCAAGAAGTAAACTTATAAGATTTGTGGAAAGCGTTGGGTGGGCACTGTGGTATCTCGAAGAACAAACCCTTGGGGGACGTATAGTACTTCAGATCTGTCACTCCTTGAGCCCAGGCAGAGCTGGAGATCAGCCACAGTACAGCAAATAGTGCAGAAACAATGAAATCCTGAAATGTACATTGTATTATTTGAATCAATAATTACTTTATTGAGCTTAGTCTCAACGGCATAGTGATTATTGTGAATCTGCTTGTTTCTCAGTCAACTTTACTGAAATACCATATCAATCTGTTGTAAGCTATTTCATTTGTATAAAATACTTTGTAAATGGAAATGTTATTTGCCTCTTCAAGTAAAGGTCAAAGCAAGGGGGACTGGCTCGTAGGGTTTCAACTCGATATTCGACCTTGACCTTGATCGACAACAACATTTAGAATGTCGTTATTTTCCGACGTTATAACTGACTATAAATTCAGAATCAGCGATCCAAAAGATTTGAACTAATATCTTGATCACTTATTGCGTGTTTTGAATTTTTTTGTTTGAAATTGAAATTCACGATTCAAATTCTGTGAAAAAAGTGAAAAATGGCGGCAGTTTGATTTTGAATTTTGTAATCATGACATGACTCCATATATGGCAGAAAATCGACTTGAAACCCTGGGAGCCAGTCCTCCTTGGGTCAAAAGTTGTAAAGAAATAAGTAGTTCAACTAATTTTTTCAAAGCCTGTTGTTATGTTAATATAAAGCAAAAGTGATGTACAAAGATACTCACTGCTATGGGTATGAGGTCGTACTTCCTGTAGATATGATCAAAGACGACATAAAGCACCAGAGCGCCTAGTGAGTACAAAAAGGCCATGACACCAACGAATACATAGAACTCAGCAGATGATGCCATGTTGCCATATGGAGTGAACATTTCTGTACCATTGATAGTTCCATTATTTAGCGTTGGGTCACACTGCTCAACTTTGATAGGGGTCGCACTTAGCCTGAAATAAGTTAGAATGTGCATCAGACACAGAAGACACACAAAGCACATGTTAAACAATATTGCAACCTTGAACAGAATATCAAGAAGGTTTACTATGCAAAAATCTTGCAATGTTGATTGTGTTCATTTACTTTGCTATTATTATCAGGGATTTAAGTAATCAATGTAAATTTTCAGAGCAGAGTTTGCATGTAACATGTAAAAAAGATTTTGAGATTCAAAATTCAAAATCCATAGACAAGACATAACAGACGAGATTTAAGGAATGAAAATCCAAACTGGTCACCTTAAAATTCCCCCAACATACACTATAAGTTAAATAAGTTTGAATGAATTGATGAAAGGGTTTGACTGAAAAACCAGGATGGAAAATCCTTAAAGGCCCCATATAAAGTTTAAACCACTTTGGCTTATATTGTAGTCTTACCCAATGTTATCAAAGTGTGATATGTGAAATATGTGATTTCAAAAAGTGGTTTTTGATAGACTTTTTGTTCCAAAATTTGTGAATTTATTTAAAACCAACTTTTAGAGGTCACTCATATCTTCTTCTAATTAGCCACAATTCATACCAATGTATAGCATTCATCCTCCCATGTTTTTTGCCGAAAAAATTAAGAAAATCGGTTCATAAATAAGCGAGAAATGAACTTATCAGTGCATAAAAATGGTTCTGAGAAAAATACATTTCAAAACTTTAGTTCTCATAGAAACCAATGGTACAATGATATCTAAAACATAATTTATTCTTCCTTTTAACCTGGTTAGACAATCAACATTGGTTTTTTATGAAAGTCTAACATATATAGAAAAGATTGACATCGAAAAAAAAATTTCAATTTTTTTCAAAAAGTTTTTGGTACCTTAGTGACATCACTAATGTTTCAAAATATTTGTGATATGCTAAAACATTGAAGTGGCCCATTAAATGTGGCATTTTATTATTGAAATAGTGTGTCCTTTGTTCAATCTTTGCATTGGGGTTAAAAAGATAATCTTTTTTGAAATGCATTAAGAAATATTTGATGATTAAGAAATTTCAACTTTTTTGAAAAATGGCGGGAAATTTGAATATTTGAGAAATGAAATGCTCACAACTTTTTTTTCAAAAATTTTTTTTGTTCAAAAATCTCTAAAATCACTTTTTAAGTCCTGACAAATAGTAAATGAATGATAAAAAAATATTTTCAAACTTTAGACGGGACTTTAAAGGCTGCCTTGAAATTTACTCAGAGACAAAAAATTAATCAATTCTTGATTTATATACAGTACCAAGATGCATCCCTGAAAATTTGAAATCAATTCCTTAAAAAGGTATGGCTTTAAAGGCCATAAATGGCTTCCTTGAAATACTTCCAAAAACTAATAAGTTCTAGGTTTAAATACCAAGAGAATTTTGCTAAAAACTCATATACAATACCTTGTGTGTCTTCAGGACAGAAAATAGCTGCCTTGAAAACCCAGTATGCCCAAAATCTAATCATTCGCCATTTTATAAAAACCATTGGATCAAAGATAATCAAACCTGACATAGTATTGATTGTTCCTAATAATGTGCCTAACAATTTCTTTGATAATAACCTAATCTATTACCAATAACATTGCATCTTAAATTGGATAATGATTTTTTCAAAGAGGTTCACAAGAACCGTATAGCATATGCTCAAAAACTAAAATCGTTTTTTTGAGTAATTGTAAGGAACATTATGAGAAAAAAGATACTGAATAAGAGACAGTCTCTCTTTACTTATGATTTCATTTTAACCTCAAGGAACCTACAGCTTACCTGCCTTATTTATCATTATCCAATTTATAAATGTAAAATACAAATATGTATGCACAAGTGCCAAAGAAAAAGGACCAAAAATTGTTACAGAACCCAGCAAGAAAGGAATACATCATGATAGAGTAGAGTACACAATCATTAAGGAAAACAAACCCCAACTATCCCAAACCATAATCCAACGTGAAAGGAAACAATGTTTAATACCACCGTCCCCCACCATTCAAATTCTATTATGAAGATATACACTTACATACTGGAGCAAAAGATATTTACCTGAAGGGATATGAGAAGTCTAGATGTTTATCCTTTTTTGTTGCCCCACACAAAAATGAGAATGTAGAATGTCCAGAAAAACTAGTTGTTGTTGCGAATGCAAATATAGCAATAATCTGAAAATATAAAACATAATATACTAGTACATAATTTATGATACTAAATGAAACGTGACAAGGTGAAATGTGTTTACAGGATGTCAAAGGGGATGATCCATCATGGATGAGTGACTCCTTCCGGGATGAATCTGAAAGATTGTCCTATGTTATAAAGTGAGTCTAAGATAATGCAATGTGAAATAAGAACGTAAGACAGTTCAGTTCTGTTTTTTTGCAATAATGTTTAACTATATGCATGCATGTTGTTATGCTGTTAAAATACAGTTTGGCCATGTCTTGAGGTTATAGTGGCCATGTCTTGTACAACTAGAAGAAAAAATAACAAAAAATAACATGGATTATTTGATATAATGGAGTATAACAAATGGATTATAAGATAATCCCTTTCTTATTTTTTTCTTTTTGGAGATCAATTATGTAATATCCCCAATCTTTTTGTACATTAACCATATCAAAAAAAGTTGGTTTTACGCCAGATATTTGACCTCAAATTTGTATTGTTTTCAATTATACTAATCCCAAGGGGACACACTTTTCCTTTTCAGAGGTAAATCATGAGTTAAAGTACATTTCAACTTAGTATTAAAAGTTGGCATAAAATGCTGCATTTTTGGTGAAAATTGGCTTATAATTGCAGAAAATTGGTGATGATTGGTGGACAGCTTAAGAGATAATCCATTCGACTTTACTTTCATTCTTTTGCCCCTTATTGAAGATAACATATTGGCCAAACAAACGCATTTGTTTTTGTGTCAAATAATTATTAGAACTTAAGAGCTGTCTAAAAAAGCTTGCAATAACATACCTGCCCCTTTGTTTCCTTTTACCTCTAGACTTTTTTCTTTATTACCTGTCGTAAATTGAACCAACTATTTTATATAAAATTGCATGTACAGAATAATTAAAGTCAGGAAAAGACATACCATAAATAGAGTTTTAATGGTAAGAATTACCACTATCATAGTTGGAACTGCTTCAAGTATCAACACCTATTGATCCATAAATTCATACTATCTGTATAGCTATAAATCCCAATGCTCAGTTCCATGTTAATCCATACTTTGGTTTTATTTATAATCCAGCCTGTTCAGAGATAGCGTACATTAATGATGTGCAAATTAATAAAAATGATGCACAATTTTTATTGTTACTTGATATTGTTATATTTAGTGGTTAATATATAATTTCATCTTATTTAAAAAACCTACTTCAATTTACAATATCTTTTTCTCTCATTTAGAGATTACAATACAATGTTCTATTTTTCATATGGAAATGATTTTTCGTTTTGAAAGCGCTCATATAAAACACCTTTGCTTCTTGTCATATCAAGACTCCTGATATTCGGAATATATCCTACAATGCTCTGTTCTAGTAATGAAAGTGATCACATCTCAACACTGCAGAGGCTAACAATGTGGGATATTCGTAAAGCCTGATTGGTGAAATTAAATATTCACTTATTTTAATGCGAATTACAGAAAAATTACCTTAAGATGTAAACATGCAGTTCATGGTTCATTTCTTCTTTGCATTTATAGTTTTCATATTCCTTTTTTATTTTTTTGTAAAATGTGATTTACTACCCCTCTTTACCAGGCTTAACAATGGATATTGAGTGGAATGTGTATGGCTCCCAAAGGACCCTGTATCTACAAGGTATAGAGCTAAGAGGGGAATATAATATAGTGGCTTAAGTTAAAGGGATATTGTGATTTATAGAGGATAAAATGGTTTAAAATAACACTTTACGTGATTGCCTGGTCTATAACACCTTCCCTGGTAAACCTATTTTCAAAATATGCATGAAGATCCATTCAAAGTCGATGTTTGACCATTAAAAAATCCAAATTTAGACTGAGGATTGAAATTGTTCAAAGGACTTTAATTTTCTCAGTAGACCGGAAGTAAATTTATGAGTTGAGTAAATGTTGATAATGATCTTTTTATGAAGCGGGGAAGTCAAAACAGTACTATTAGAATTCATTGTAAGTATTCGAAGATAATTTAGAAGCATTTAAATTCGAATCCACAACAAAAGTGAATTAACTGAAATCTGTATACATCTTCATCTTCTTCGTGGACGTCACAGAACACACTTCCAGTTTAGTAATCAATGATTTTATCGATCAAAAAATATTTTTTTATGAATTCGTCTGATATCTGCTTAAATATGGTATCTATATCTGTGTTGATTGTTAAATGACAAAATGGGTTGGGTAAAGAATGTGTCAAAGTCATTTGATCTCAAGCAATATTTTGTCATTTCTGTCGCCTAGAATTTCTTTAACCAACAAAAATATTGAACCAAATATAGCAGATCTATCTTAAAAATGGGATTTGTAAGATAAGTACACAGTGTATGTTTTGTCATCAGTGCATTGAAATGTAGACCCAAAGAGAGTTCCTGAGTTATAAAGAAAAAAGGGATGGTAAGAGAGTATTAAATGTTTGAAGCAATTCTCTCCTAAGAGCAATTGCCTTTGTTATTTTTTTTGATTTTTGATATCTGATCAAATATAGTGGAAGTAAATGAAGATTTAATATGCAGAAATGTCCAAGTTATTCTTTAAAGGTGATTTTTTCACTTTTTGCAAGATAACCTTTAAGATTAAAGGATTATCCAGAACTAAAGTAAAAACTGTTAGACTTGGGGAGGGGGGGGGGGTCGAGGCCCTGGCCAAAATTCTTTCAAAATCATGCAGTTTTTCACCATTCTGAGCACTTTTGACATGATTTTGGTATTTTTGGGCCAAAGTTGTCAAAAGTGACTACCCTGGCATCAGCCTATAAATTTTGAGCCAAATCCATCAACCAGCATTTAGTTATTTCCCAGACAGATATACGTATTGATGAATGGACAGTAGAATGGATGACTTCTCTATACCCCTCTATCTAGTTCTACCTCTACTCCCTTTAATTTAAAGTATTCAGGTACACTAAGGATGATATATCACAAAGACCTTGGTTCTCTAGCCTCTGTCATCCAGAGCACAATGTAAATTATCTAACATTGTTGTCATGGTTACATCATGAAATACAACTGAAACCCAGAAATCTAATCTCAGATATCTCTGAAACACAACCTGGTGAAACATGATGAGTAAAGCAGCATTATTTCATGGCCTATACAGCATAAATATCAGATTTTAATGATGAAAAATGATTTAAAGCTAGAGTTATCGCAGATAGTCCATCATACTCACATCAGGGATGCAATTCCAATCTCTTTATATTCTAATATTTATCAGACTTAATGCAGTATGTCGCTACGTTACTGTTATTAGATGCAATTGGTTTAGTGCTACCTAACATCCAAGAACCTCCTTGATCAAACAATGTGTCTTGTTTTTGAGAATAATACTTTCATAATTGCAATTTTTCAAGAGAAAATTTTCAAGACTTTTTGCCTTTGGACAACCCTCATAGAATATTGTTATAAACAAAAAGGTAACGTAATTTGCTTCTAGTAATTCCTAGGCAAGATAGTGACAATAGACTAAGGAAAATGCATGTTTTATGAGGGACACCTTTGACCATTAGAGAAAAGTCCTATTTTCTGGAATATACTAATTAAAACCTGATTGATTCAAAAACAAGTACAATGTTCTCATGGGGTGGGATCAGAAGATTTGTCTATTATTGGGATCAAGTTATTTTTGTAAAAACACCAACATTTATTCTTTAACTCATATGTTTTGCTAATCTGAAGAAAATAACCTACTCCATGCAATGGGTATATCATTTGGGGATACCTTTTTCTTTTCTTTTTAGTCCAATAACTCAGCTAGGAGTTGTAGCTATCGAAAACAGCGATACCATATCATACTCTGGAAGAGCTATGGGGCTCTTTTGTAATTTTTCCAAAAGAAATTAGAAAAACAGCAATTCCACGGAGTAGCAAATCCCACCGAACAAAACATGTTTTGATAAATAGCGGCACTATAAAACTTGAGCCAAATCCATCCACTGGTATTTGAATTATCAAAGATTATGTTTTATGAAACATGGTTGCCATTTTGAAATTCAGCTGTCATCTTTAGATTTCTTCTTTAGCAGAGCTCCTATGTCCCAAAGCATCAGCATATAGAATTATATCCAAATCAGTCTACATGTACTTGATTTATTTAGATTACATATTTAATGAAAAATGGTGGAGATTTTGATAAATAGCAGCCACCTTAAAAATTTCTTCTCGGCAGAACTCCTTTATCTCTAGGCATCAGTATATAAAATTTGAAGTAAATCCGTCCAATGGTATTTGAGTTATCAAAGATCACCTTTTTTTATGAAAAATGGCGGCCATTTTAAAATTCAGCTGACACCTTTGAAATTTCTTCTAAAGCAGATCTCCTTTTTCCCTAAACATCAGCATATTAAGTTGGAACCAAATGCATCCACTGGTATTTGAGTTATCAATGACTACGTTTTTTACCAAAAATGGTGGCCATTTTGAAATTCAGTGGCCATCTTGAAAATGTCTTCTTGAGCAGAACTTCTTTGTCTCTAGGCATCAGCATATAGAATTTGAACCAAATCCATCAACTGGTATTTGAGTTATCAAAAGGTTACGTTCTTTTATGAAAAATGGCGGCCATTTTGAAATTAAGCTACCATCTTGAATATCCCTTCTCGAGCAGAGCTCCTATGTCCCTGGCATCAGCATGTAAAATTTGAACCAAATCCATTGAATGGTATTTGAGTTATCAAAGATTATATTTTTTCTGATTAGTGGCCATATTGAAAATTTCTTCTCGAGCGGTGGTTCTACACCAATAAGGCATAAGCCTATAAAATTTGAACGAGATCTGTCAACCAGTATTTGAGTTATTGCCCGGACACACGAACGGACGGACAAACAGACGGACGAATGGACGGATGGACGAACGGCTTTTCTATATCCCCCTCGAACTTCGTTCGGTGGGATAACAATGTTACATTTTCTTGTCCACAGAACAGGACATTGAATTTATTTCAGCAATGAATCTTAGTTCACTAACTGAGATACATACATAACAAGTTCCTTCTAAAATATGACCATTCTTATAACTAATAGATAAGATACATTACCATCATTAAAGCAAGGATTTGGTTGGATGTGGATTATTTATCACGGTCATAAAATCTGTTATTAAAACAGGTAGTTATAATATATGGCTGTAAATTCAGCCTACAATCTGTAGGAATATAACCTTTCATGACTGCTTCCTGACAAATATGCTATCCCAAAGGAGTATGGTAAAATTCAAAAAATTAATGAATACTGACATGTTCACTGGGGGGTATCGTGATGCAACAACACTGTGTTGTTGCATCAAGATGGCCAGACTTCCGGTGATAGATTTTCGTACGATATTTTGTTTTCCCAATTTAAACCCATTTCTAGGACGAGTTGCTCAATAATCATACACGTGCAGTTAGCTCATGATCTATATTTTAAAAAACTCTCATTAGTATGCATGTAGCATCATCAAGAAGCGAGAAATTCGCGGTTTTAATTCCTCACTATTGATGCAACAACACCACTCTGTTTATTATCGATGATGCAACAACACCAATGTGCTGATGCAAAAACGCCAATATAATGTATCATTGAATATCAAGAGAAACTGTTTTATGTTCTGTTTATAGGTGTTGGTCGGGACATGAATAAAACGCGTGAGTGCGTGGTTCATGAATGAAACGTATTTTGTTTGGTTCCTTAATGTATTTGTCTTTATCAAAGTTAAAAGGATATACAAGGTAAACTAAATACATAGGCTAAGTATTGAATCCCCGGGAGCCAACCTCATTCGTATTGTATCTGAAAAATAAAGATTATTCATTTTCTAAATTAAATCCCCTTGATTTACCGTATCGTATGGAAATTGTTTACAAAGAACTAATATAACTAGACTTTGGAAATTGAACAAGTTCAATTTCAGACTCCAGATCTGGACTTTTTTAAGCCGAGTCATCCAGAAAAAGATGGATGGATGGATGAAATAGGAAGGAGGGATAGGACAGAATAGGATGGAACGATAGGAGAGAATAGAGAAGAAAGATAGGATAGAATAGCAAGGAAGGATAAGATAGGAAGGATAGGAAGGAAAGGATAGGAAGGATAAATAGGAAGGAGCGGATAGGGATAAAAGGGATAGGATAGGAAGGATAGGATAGAATAAGAAGGAACGATAGGATAGAATAGTAGGATATGATAGGAAGGATGGATGGAAGGATGGATGGATTTTTTAACATTTTCTTCGCTACTCTTGACTTTCTATCAGGATACCATCAGATCGATTTTTCTCGCAATTTCAAAACGCCATAACTTCCGAACCGGAAGTTGGATCGAAATTTGGTTTGCAGATTCTGATTTCTGAGAAAATTCTATTCTTCATTCATAACTCAAACGTTAAATTTGGAGAATTTTTTATTTTTACCTACTTTTTGGACACTTTATCTCAAAAGTGGGTTAAAATACTTTCTGACGGCAAAAGGCTAACACTATTCAGTACACTCTTGGCTACATGTATACACGATTTCGAAGAATATAATTGAATTGTAGTGTCAGAATCACAAAAATAAGGAAAACTTTGAATTTGACCTAGATTTTGACCTAGACATTTTTGGGTCCAAATTTTGAAGCTAGATTGCTTTTGAGGTACTCTTCATTTAAAGGATTTCATTAAATTAAGCTGTACTCGGTCGTATATATGTCGTATTTTACACTTCAAAATTTTGTTTTCCCCATTGACTTAACATGGGCACCAAATTTAACGATTTTGAGTTTTCAAAACGCCATAACTTCCGATGAGTGTTGGTTTAATGATATTGCAGTTATACAATGCTATTATATAGAATGAGGTTATTTACTGAGAGGGATTCAATATTGATTTTATTCCGGGACACATTATGATATTTCCCGAGGGCCCAGGGGGAATCTGGGATTACTGTACCCCTATCAATTTACCTTTTCGGGACCTAAATCCTATTACCTACCTTTTAACAATCGGGGAGAACGAATCCAAAGAGAAAAATACTTCTACATGTGCGCTGTGCAAGATTTTCCAATAGCTGGTCGTGTTTACCGAGAACGAAAGATGTCTGTCCACCATTTGAATGATACTAACGGGTATCAGGGTCATCAAGCTATGGAACAGGGGTTTATGATAATAGATTGGGTTACTATAGCTTGCAATGTTTGAACTATTGAACTATGAACTATTGAACTATGTTATAAAACAACTTCCAGTACATTATGATATTTAAAAGTATAAATTTTTGAAAATACATATAAAGAATCTTCGCCCGCAGGACGTGTATTTTGAATGCCTGAGAAGAACGCAAATGGGTACTGGCCCGGTATTGCAATAGTAGCATTTAAAAATCTGTTCCTCTCGAGATTTATGGTCTTCTGAAATTATACTATTAATTGGTGTTGTTGCATCATTGCTCAAATCTAGAGGAGTGTTGTTGCATCTTCGGTTTGGTGTTGTTGCATCAATAGTGAGGAACTAAAACCGTGAACTTCTTGCTTCTTGATGATGCTACATGTATACTAATGACAGTTTCTTTAAATATAGATCGTGCGCTAACTTCACGTGTATGGTTATTGAGAAACTCGTCCTAGAAATGGGTTTAAATTGGGGAAACAACATATCTTACGAAAATCTATTACTGAAAGTCTGGCCATCTTGATGCAACAACACGGTGTTGTTGCATCACGATACCCCCCAGTGATGTTGACACAGGTTTTCACAATTACGGGAAGTATATGACAGTTTGTCCATCTTTACATATCTCCTGGGAATAGGCATTAATCTGAAATAAGATAAATGAGTATTAAAAAGGACCTTACAATCCAAACATCAGCATCAGTTCTGTCTTTTGCTGATGTATGTTATTTACGACATAGATACATCAGGCTTGTAGTCAGCTTTTGCCAGGGAGGGGAGTCACTTTTTTAAAAATTCCAGGGGTGTTCACTTTTGACAAATTTGGTCTAAAATGACCAAAATCACTTAAAATTTGTTCAGACTGGTGAAAAACTGCATGATTTTAGAAGAACTTTTGGCCAGGGCGAGGTTGACCGAATCCCCAATGGCTATTGGCTCAATACAGGTACGTTGAAATAAGCAATTTCTGTGGTGCTTGCTAACCCGTGATTCTGTTGAACATTAAAAAAACTAAAAACTTCACACATAACATGGTTCAACCTCAAATTGAACTGAAATTGAATAAAGAATCAATCTGATTGTTAATAGGTAAGATCCCAGTTAGATTGTTTCTTCAGTCTTGGCTCCAGGACAATAAAAACTCTATAAATGTTACAAAAATCAATGGCGGTTTGTTCCTCAAACTGCAGGCAAACACGGAAATCTTAGATCTTACTACAAAATGATGAGGCACTTATTTACTTAAGTTGAGAAGGATGGATTTAAAGCTTTTGACGTCTTTCTAATCAATAAGACACATGCTAGAACTCCTAGAGATTGCAACTGAAATTGAACAAGTTATTGCCATTTGAAGATTTACATGTAATCCTTTCTATAGAGCTAATCTGTGATATCACTTGAATCTACAAAGCGCTAGTCTCTAAGAGTCCAATGTTATTTATATCATCCTTGTCTTTTACAATACCTTAGGCTACAACTGTTGAATAATATATAGGACGATCTAATAATTCAAAAGGAGGAATACAATAAGTGGTTTGGTTACTGATTTATATAGACTCGATGTGAATGATAAAAAGTGAAACTGCAATAGGATTTATTAAGCATTATTTGTCAATTATGTAAAAAATGATGTTTGATGAGAACTCAAAACATTTTGATATTCTACTGCAAACAAAATCTGAAATAATTCTCAACTGTACCTCATATTTAGGCAAAATATGAATTTCTGATTTAAAAAAACTCTGCATTTACGAGAACAAATGATAGTAGAATAGATATGGGAAAATAATATAATTAAAATATAAATGCATAGTTAAAATTGTAACTCTTAAACACCAAATATGGTCCCTGCATACAATTGAAAAAAATAGTTCCTATTAACGACATAACTGCAGGATGGATGAACAAATGAGCAGCAGGAATAGCAATAGCTCAGAATGTTAGCCACAAGGATAAAGATTCTAAGTAATAAATTGGCTTGTTTTTCTGTTCGAGTAATTTCCCTATGCTTTTCTGTGTAAACAATTTATCTCCAATCTCTCCTCTAATCAAATGGAAATTGGTCATTCTTTACAAATCAGAGACATTACTGAATGCGGCAGTTTTCATCACTTCAAATCAAGCATCTCTAAGGTTTCTTTCCTGGACAATCAGTGATGTCCCATTAGAATCGCTTTATCTATATAAATCTTTTATTGACTCAATGACCATGTCATGTAAATGACATATCAGTCACTACAGTGTACAAAAAATTACAAACTACAATTACTATATATTACAAAACTACTTTACATCGGTTTCACATGTCAGGGTATGATAACAGAATATCAGTGTGGTGTATCCACATACCTTTGGTTTATCAAATGAGACCAACTTACATGTATGGGCACTGCATTGCTGATACACTGAGAAAATCAAGAGAACAACCAACTGTCAGAATTAAATGCAATTTGAGCTTTCCACCACCAAAGATAATTTTCTGTCAAGTTCCTCACCTGTCACATGACTTAAACACAGGCAGCCAATCAGATCTGTATACAGTCATGAAATTGACACTGTATTACTTAGGAGTTGGTACCTGACAGTTGGTAAGTAGATGGACGAACCCGATTTACATGTAATGCAAAAATATTAGAGAGTTACTTTAGTTGCCTCTTAAAGGGATGTGCGGGAAAAACTCTCCATCATTGGCTATAGTAAAAATACAATGTAAAGAATATTATAAGGCATACTTACTACTTGAATAAGCTTTATAAATCCCCTAGGTTCTTTAATAGCATAGGTGTTTAGCCCTGTGGCCAACTGAAAACACAGAAAATATATGTTAATCGGAAAAGAGCACAAGTGAAATGATTTTATTTCTCCGTGTGGCTTTGAGGAACAAATGGACAACTTTTTTAGTTTTCTTGTGCTCAATTATTTCATCTCTAAATGGAATGATTTTTTCAGTAGAAGAGTCTTACTCCTAAATGTGGACAAGGATATACAAAACACAACATATAAATACACATGTATGGAAGTTACAATTACAAACATGCCTCTAATATCTAGGTTTTAAAGGATCTATTTACTATTTAATCACAGATTCCAGACAGATATATTGTAGTAGTATCAGTAGCTCAACAATCATTCCGGAAGAAATTCCTGAAATATTTTAAATTGTTATTTAGAACTACCATACTGATGTTACTGCAAAATATCTAACTTGAATCAATACTTGTGTTTTTAATATAAATTGATAAATGGGTACTATGAAGACCATGGCAAACTAAATGTAAAAGATACTGCATAAAATTAATATATTCCCAGTATGATCCCTTTCACCATATCTGAAAACATAGTGATTGTGAATAACACTTGGCTAAACTTTAATGTGAATTTGTTAAACCTACTACCGATTAGAAACAGAGGATATCTTCTGGGAAGATCAAGATATTTTGCAAAGAATTTATGAGGTTAGGTCTCTCTTCAAAATTAACTTCAGACTTCAAAAGTTCAATGTCTAACTAAATTCTATTTTGTGAATTTTTTCATCTATTTTCTCTATTGACCCCCCCCCCCTCCGGCCTCCATTTATAAACTAAATAAGACATTAACATGGAAAATGTCCCCACCTGCCATTTTTTAAACCTGCAACCGATTGGAAACAGAGGATATCTTCTGAGAAGATCAAGATATTTTGCAAAGAATTTATGAGATTAGGCCTCTCTCCAAAATTAACTTTGGCTGCAAAAGTTCAATGTCTAACTAAATTCTATTTTGTCAATTTTTTCATTTATTTTCTCTATTGACCCCCCCCCCCCCTCCCCTCTATAAACTAAATAAGGCATTATGGAAAATTCCACCACCTGCCATTTGTTACAGATCCCAATCATCACCTGTCGAATGCCAAGTGCAGACCATTGTGGTGGTGACCTAACTGGGAGAAAGGTGATTGAAGAGTTTGTGTCTTTGAAAACAGACATCACTGATTGTCCACACAAGGGTGTATTTAGGCAATTCCTAAAGTACACTGTAAATTGAATAATCTTAGATGTTGCTTTAACTTCCTGTTCCCCAAAGAAGATTTAGTATAATTTACCTTTTTTATCAGACATTGAACTTTTGAAACATCCCCTAATGCATCTTCATTTACATTACTGAACTATACAGGAGTGAAAAATTAAAAAAGTTAAAATATCACAAATTTTGAGAAGATATTACAATGTTGCTCAATTATTTATTACTTCAAATTTTATCAATGTAAATGCATTTTGAAAGTAATCATTGTTTATGTGATTCAGTGCAATGTGTATGCTTTCCCACCATTGTAATAAAATATGAAAGTGAAAATAATGTTATATCCCATACCTACTGAGGTTCCAAACATGTAATTTGCAATAAAATATAACATATCTAGGGAGTGGGGTGAATATTTTTATATCCTATCCCGCTATTGCCGAGATCTGGGGCATTCAGCTGTATCAATCCCAGTCCCACAAGTTTTTACATTGATTTTTTTAATATTCATTTTGAAACTTTAAAAATGAAATTTTTCACCATTTTTGAAAAAATGTTATTTTAAAAAAAATTTCTTAAAATTATATCAAATAAAAATCTGTTATTTTGAATAGAAGTAGAAGGTAGAATGTATCAAAGAAGCCCAATAGGTATAGGATAAATCTGTTATAAATGTATGTGGTTGGTTTGGATACAGGGTTTATCCTAAGGGAAATATGTGTATCACAGATTTTCCAATAATGATGATATATATCTGCAGGATATTATGTTCTGTTAGTCATGATATAACTCAGGTTTTATGCAACACCACTTACTCCATCTATTACTCCAGATACCATCAAAGGAATCTACAAGTTTAGTAACATAATATAACAGCAACAAGAGCATAATTTGGTAAAACAATAAAATGTAACACAGTAACAATAACATATATACAATAATACATCATCTATGTCAACACATATTTAAATCATAAGAAAATCAAATGAACATGTAGTTAAAATGCCAATATTTTCCTCATTTTCCAAATGTGTAAAATGTTCATATTCTCAATTAGCTGGAGAGATCACATGGCTGTTTAATTTATATGACAAAAAACAACTAGATTCATTTTGATACTGCAATTAAAGAGCAAAATGTCCACCTTGTAAATTACCCAGCATACCCAAAACCTAAGCAGACCTTTACACTCCTCTGCTTTTGCATTTGTAAAAAGTTAGACAAATGAAAAGTTAGATTCCTAACAAAATGAAGACAATATGCTGCTTCTCACGATCGATAAAATTAGCGAGAACAACACATAAACAATCTCAGTAACTAAGTGCTAGTATCTATTATCCTTCACGTAAGAACTAACAAGCCAGATAACAAATTAACGTATGATATATCACAAAATGATTAATAAATATTGATCTAGCCTTGCATCAAGCCTGTATATTTATGCCATCCCCCAAAACACCTGCACTGGTAAAGGAAATTATTTGAATAGGACCAAAGGCAAGGTGCAAGACTTATATTCGATCACTAAAATTTGATAATTATATAAAATATATTGGTCAACTTATTTATTAAGGATGCAGTACCGGGTCGGTTTTCACGTCTGTTTGCGCAGGTTTGACTTCCGGTTTGAGAAAGCTAGCTCCCAAGAACGTCATTTTCGCATTTAGTCTTATTCAAAAATTATAGTTTATTTCAATAATGGTGTTTCCAGAAAAGAATTAAATTGCAAACATTTTATCAAGCATATTTTATCCCTTTCACTTTTATGGGAAAACTTGTTCTTGAGTCGCAATTAGTGGATACGAAAACCAGGGTTCGAAAGGTGCCAGCTCTATTGAAAACTCAAAAGAGTAAAAAGATTCATTTTGGGTGGGTAAAATAATTTTTTTATTTTGTAATTACCAGACGGTCAATCCTCTTCATATTGCACTTGGATGATGATAACATGATAGTGATACATTGTAAAAAATATGAGCAAAATCTAATGTCTGGAACTTTTTCTACGCTGACCTGGTACTGCATCTTTAAAACAAACGGTTCACCATCACCACAAGAAGATCAATATTCCAAGTAAATTAATAGTTTACACAAATCGTTTTTTGAAAACCTTGAGAAAATGTAAAGAACAAATAGAATAGAAAAAATGGAATAGAAATATAATTTAACATCTTTAGCCTTGTCTTTTTGAAAATTCCTGAAAATCAAAGTAGCCAAATATAAGTATGCTACATATATTGATATCTGTGTTGGGTGGAAGTGAAACCAACATAACATATCTCAATAAACTATAACACATGTATATCATCAAGAAAATAGTTACATGTCCATCATCATCTAGGCGATTGTTATAGCTGGAGTGATCCTCTAAATCCAGATCAGTACCAGCATGCAGCAGTGACCTCTATTCATAGACGAAGAAGATAAAAATAGATAGTTGTACAATCAGTATAATGTAGCTTATTAATCACAACACAAAAAAAGTTACAAATTCCTACTTAAGAGAGATGTTGTTGTCATGACAACAAGTGTAAGGAGATGGTCTGTTAAATATAGAGGAACAGATTAATTGGCTCAATTCTCTTGTTTTTGTAGGTACATGTACTTTGTTCACCGTAATGGTGAACAGTATAATATAAAATCATACATTCAATAGGAATAGTCTTCAGTTACAATGTGTTGAACTTCTAAACATTAAACACATTGGTCCATTTTTGTATTATTGACATTCAACAGTTATTGTTTCGGATGAATGATTCTGAATAAAATTGATAGTCAAGAAACCAATAGCCAGCATTACATATAATTACTTCGAACTAGAAGGTACAAATATGTAATTTGGCAAATGATATTTAATATCACAGCATGTAAAAATAATTTTGACTTTTCTAGTTTCCCTTAAAATGATATAAATTGATTGACCAAGATTTGTTTCTTCATATGGTTTAACTCAAATCTGCAACTATTTATACATATAGAAAGAAGGTAAAAAGTTTTTACAAAGTTTCAAACATCTTAAATGTTACATGATACAAAAAATCATTAAAATCTTTGTTACATTAGACTAATAATAAATCCTAAAATTTTGCCAAAAATCCAGGGGGAGCACTGTGTTTTGAAAATGTGAACATCACTCAATGAATATGGCCTCAACTGAGAGCTCATTTGCTTCAGATATGTTTTACTGAATATTGAGATTCAAATTAACCTGAAAGAACCTCAACATTGAAGGGAAAAATTTTCTTGCTTGGTCCTTTGAAGAAATTCAAATATCTTATAATTTAAGTATGTATCTTTTATTCCCAATCAGGTCGGATTTTATAAAAAACAATTTCATTATCATATCACAATGGTAGATCTATCACAGTTTTAAAAGAACTCTGTAAATGTATCACCTAATCCTGGGGGGTTTACTGTATATAAACCTTGACGGGGATCCTCGGCGCACATGGGGTACCTTTTTTGACATTTGGTATGGCAATGGACCCACATTTTAGGATGTGGTATGAGAATGCCAGATCTAGAATGCCCTCATGATGACTTTTGAGGGATGGAAATGGTCAGATTTTTCAACTTTCTGGTATGAGAATGGTCATGGAAAATATGTTATCTCACAATTATGGTATGGAATTGGTCTAGTTGTAACACATACCGGTACTTATATGAGGTTGTTGGTTCGTTTTCCTCAAAGATCGCCTTCTTCTTGGGACCTTCTTCAGTTTAAATAAATAGCTTTTTTCCCAGGAAATATTCTACTTTGGGCCAGGCATGGCATTGGTATGGCATTGGTCCTATATTTTGACATTTGGTATGGCATTGGTTTCATATTTGGGCATTTGGTATGGCTTTTGGGCACTATATCGGTTGGTATGGGAACACATCCAAATTTGACATTTTGGTATGGGAATTTATTGATATCTGAGGGTTCAGCCTAAGACCCCCGCCAAATTTTATACACAGTAAACCCCCCGGGCACCTAATAACAAATGTTCTCCAAAGGATTTTTTAACAAGTGGGTGCAAAATTCTCATGTGGCCAAATATATGAAAATTTTAAGAAACACCCTTCAAATGTTCCTATGGTAACTGCTTCCCCGTGATAGATCTTGCATTTAATTTATATTTATAACTGAGATCTTAAAAACACCTCTTTTATGCTCGTAAAATGTAATTTTTATGGTAATACCATTCTAATGTGCTTGAAATGTTCAAATGTTTTTCATCATATAATATCATCATGGGAAGCCAATCTTTTAAATCTCGATAATACAGTTTAAAGAAACTAGTATGATCAATAGAAACATGTCCGTGATCAATGATACAACTAACTCTCATGGGCGTAGGGCTATAATTTGAGTTGGTAAGCACACTCAGGGATGCCTGATTACATAGCCGAAGGCCGTGCATCGCGGGGTATTCTTCCCCGGAAATTTTTTTCAAGGACGTTATTCGATGGAATCTTAGCATTTTTATCAACTTTAAATGTTGACAATGGTAAAAATACAGATATTGTAGGAAAGCATCAATAAATTCACAAATAAATTAATGCATTTTAACACATTTTTAATTTTTTTTCAAATTCATTTGGTACGTCTGTGCGTATTTTGCGTAATAGGCGCTACGCCCATGATGTCTGCAACCTTTTTTATAACACTAATTCGCAAGACCTAACAAACCCCCCTCAACAAAGGTCAATGTGACATTTTTTGATAATGTTAATTTCCTTTCAAAATAATCATTAGTGCCTTTATTTCCTAAAATAAAATCTATTATCTTTCAAATGAAATAAAAATTAGGGTAATTGCTTTCCTAGCACTGAAGTTATGTACTTTCAAAGATAGCAGGCATCACAAAAACTCAATGGAACGCGAAACTAAATAATCAACAATTTCAAGTTCAACTTGTATTTGTCTTTACCATTCATATTTCAAGAAGTACTACAAATAACAATAAGTGATTTCGTAAGATAATAGATAAATGCTGACTTATTATCATTTCAATATAATTTCGGTCCATGATTTTTGCTAGCAATCACATAGCAACGGACTGAATATAAATTGAATTAGTGAAATTGAAAAATTGGGGGTGGGGAAAATAAGAAAAACTATATTTAAAATTGGGAGAGGTTTATCATTATAATTCGGGTACCACAGTTTACTAAAGCATTATGGAACATGCACAGAAATTAATTAAAATCGATTTTTATGAAATAAAGCATCTTAGAAAGAAAATTCAATTTGATAAATGAGTGCTATCTACCAAACAGAGTAATATACTGATTAATTCAATATTTTATGAAAATCATTTTTATTGGCTTAAACTTCTGGCTATCATAACTTTGCTCCTCTTAATTTTTAACGCCAAAAAGTGCCATTTATCTGTGGCCAAAGCTAGAAAAATAACAGAAGCACAAAAAAACTTGCAAAAAGTACTACTGTATATTGAAAAAATCGAACATATAACATGGTGTCCAAAAGCATTTCTTTAGTGTGCTCGAGATCACAAACAATCTATTAACAATGAGGAAATATGACTAAAGAACACAGGGAAATTAATAAGCTATTTTATTCTAGCTGTTCAACACTACGCTTTGGCGTACATTGTTCCTATGCCACTGCAATCTCATTTTAAAATTTGAATTATTTGCAAGTGACTGATCAAGAGACTATTCTTTTCAGCTACTGATCCTGATACAATCTTGCCGGAATCTTTGAAGCACGTGATAGGGGCATGTAAAGGTTACTTGAGTCTCTAGCCAATTCTTGGCTAGAAGTAATTCCATCTGGAACACAGTGAACTATTGTAAAATTACTAGTCAGGGTTCAATAAATTTAAGTAATATTCTAAAAACTGTCATGTTAATATTTCATAAATTGAAATGGAACTGGCCTCGATGAGATATTCAAGAAAAATGGTGATATTCGAAAACTGGACAAAATGTCGTTAACGTCGGACATTAGTAACTGGCTGTAAATTCAGAAGATGTGAACTATTTTAATTTACATTGATCACTTCATGTGTGTTTTAGAATTTTTGGTGAGGTAATAAGACCAAAACTCGCAATTCAAACTGTGATGTGGAAAAATGGCAAACATTTGATTTCAAATTTTATGATTATGACATGACCAGTATACAGCGACATGACTCACATCCGGCAGAGTAAAAAACATGCAAAGATTTTTGTTTGGACGAAGGCCATGATATTAGTGGCCTTAGAAGAAGGTAATGTATCACAGAAACCTGTATCAACACCTGACAGTGACATCTATTGGTGACAGAACCCTGGGAATATATCTCTTATAAGAGATAAAGTGTTATTTCCGGGGTTTGGTCACCAATGGATGTCACTGTCAGATGTTGATACAGGTTCCTGTGTAATGGCCTGTAATGTATAGGCTATTCATTCAGTCTTTGAAAGATGTAATTTAGAGTACATGAAATAAAGCAAAGCTAAATGCAGTTAGCATGTTGGAAGGATGAGATAAAATTCAAGAGTTGTCAAAAATATATTTCAAGCATTCATGACTCAGTATCATACATTCAAAATGTAACTGCAAATAAATGATAATAATTTTGACATGTTGAATAGTATCCATGTTTATAAAAGATAGAACGTTACCTGAGCTGCTTTGTCCATGTTTGTATCTTGCAGTGGATAATGCCAACTGTTTTAGTTTATAATTGACTACAATAAGTAGCCTTTTAGTGCATATTTTTAACTAAAACAAAATTCGTAGCAGTAAAAAATTATTTCAATTTTTACCGGAAGTAATGAATAAAGGAAATGATTTGATTGGTTGTCAGGTTTTAAGACTGAAATCTACTATTTTAATCCCTTTAAAAATACCAGTCTTATGTGTGAATTAAAACATATAATATGTTTTACTCACTTTGTTATATATTTTTTTATTTGGTATCACAAATTTGCAAAAAATATACCGGAAGTCAAGATAATATTACGAGGTGAATAAGCGGGCCTAGCAAAATATTTTCGTAAGTTTCTTTCATTAATTTCCTTTTTGCTCAACATAAAGATATCCCTATACTAAATTTGTCATTCCAAGTGTTATAACTACTTTATTTACACATGAACCAATCTTGTTTAAGGCACACCAGTCAGTAAATATGGTATTATTGCCGTTTGAAAATTACCGGTTGCTTTGTCATGCTCAAGAAGAAGTGAAGACGGTTCATCATTCACGGACCTCTGCCAAATTACCTCCTCTGTGTCTAGGCTCAATAAATATACTTACAAGGACAAGACACGAGATCTTCAGGAGATTTATTTTTCCTTGATTTTGGAGTCAGTTTATCAATAAATATCACATGTCATACCTCAAACGATGCGTACATGAACATGTTGTTGTTACCATAGCTTCAACTCCAATCACTAAAGCCACACATCCAAGAAAGCGTCTGTTGATAAAAGCATAAAATAAGCGAGCGTATATTTAATGGAGTGCTTCGGCTAACTCCGTTGTTCAAATTTTTATTCCCGAAGTCAAATGCCTTATCTTCCCATTTATCCTTTGAGCCTACTACCAATAGATGCTGGATCTGGCTCGAGATCTGTGATTTCATTTCAGATTTTCAATAATCTAATTGTCATCCTTGACCCGTTTTAGGGCGTAAAATGAAAAAATAAGATTCCTAATTTTGCTAGGAATGTTAGGTACCCAGTCACCTTGGTACCCAGTTACCCGGTCACCCAGCTTTTTACACAAGCCCCAGAAAACTCAGAATTGGTCGTCATTTCAATTTCCTTGACAATTGGTTTGGCCCTAATTGATTGCCACTAATTTTCATTTGAACTATATTTAAGGCCTCATATAAAGTTTAAATCACTTTGGCATTATTGTTATCAAAATGTGCCATGTGAAACTTTAATTTAACTTCAAAATGTTGATTTTGAAGGACTTTTTTGTTAAAAAAATGTGAATTTATTTCAAATAAAATTTTAGTTGTCACGCTCATATATTGTTAAAGGGGCAATAAGGCTTGTAGAGAGAAAATAGGAAAATTTTAACTTTTTCTGAGCTATCAAGGCAACAGTTGGCTTAACATCTTCTTCGACATACCTATTTTCTTAAAATATATGGATAAACTATCAATTTCGGCATTAAAAAGTGTAAATTCAGTTCAAAGCTTCAAAAAGGGGACGTCCACTTTTATATTTTTAAGATCCACCATGTTTGAAGAGGAAAATAAGCTGAAATAATGATTATCTAGGGAGTTTCTTTGTAGAAAATAAAAATAGATGTAAGACTTGATGAAATATCCAAGCTTAAATATATTTTGACACTGGTCCATGATCGTTGAATGGCCCCTCTGCACTAATTATTGCACCTTTAAGTAATCAGGTAATGACATGCCTAACATATTTTGTGTTGAAAATTGGTGGAAAAAAGCATGGTTCAGAAAAAAAGAATTTTTAAAATTGAAGTTCTTATTGAATCCATTTATACATAAATATTTAATACACTGTACATGAGAAAAACTTATTTTCAACCTAGATTGGCCAACAATATTGCTTTATTTTGAAAGTTTAGCATATTTAGGAAATATTTGTACAAGAAAAAATTGGCACCTGAGTGTGTATCATTGGGACATCACAATTTTTTAAAATGTTTTAAATGTTACACCACAGTATACAGGTCCGTAACTATTCTGAGCACTTTTCAAGTGATTTTAGCCACTTTTGGGCCAAGGATGTCAAAAGTAAACCCCTCCCTGGAATTGTTCAAAAAGTAAACCACCCTTGGCAAATTCTGGCTATGGGCCTGGTATATTCATACAATCAAAGATTGAATGGTTGAAATAATATGGCTTTCGCCTCATCAATGGAATAAGTCATATTTTTAAAAAATGTCTCAAATGTTTCAAGTCATGAAAAATAATATATGAATAATTTAACTATATTACACAGGGCCTTTAATAGTTTGCATAGTTATTGCTATTCTGCTGTCTGTCACTTTTGAATTGGCTCAGGAAAATGACATCTGAAAAATACATTTTAATAGTGTAGTTCTTTTGATTATATTTCAGAATACTACCAATAACAAGGAAACACAATGTTTCTGACAAGATCTGAATATGACAGAGGTGTCAACACATTCTCCCCTGAAGGACGGTTATTCCAAGTGGAGTATGCAATAGAAGCAATTAAGGTATGCTTTAATAGTGTAACTATTCTGGTAATTGTTCGGTGACTCTTTTGTTGCCTCAACGATGCTCAACACACAACTGTTGTGAGTTTGTCTAGGTACTCAAACCAATACCTTTTTTAATATCCTTTACTATCATTAAGAAGTTCTTCTGAAATGCTTTTTTTGGCACCAAAAAGTGAGACAATACATCTTTCAAAAGTGAATGTTGCTGGGACTTATACGCTGCCATACAGTACTATTACACTACACTACACAGTACTGTTTATGAAAAAGTGCTGGACAGCGCTGTAAAAACATAACTGTACATTTCTGTTTTCTAAAACAGTGCTGTATTACTCTGTAAACACAGTGCTGTTCTATGCTGTTTAAAACAGTGCTGTTAGAATAGCACTCTACATTGCTGTACAGAGCAATGTCCGATCTGCATTGTCCAGTACTGTTTACAGCACTGTATAGACCTGCAAGATTATGTTGCGGATTGAGGGTGTAGATATTCACATACCGATTTTCTGATAAGTGTTCTTATTTGAAGGTGTTCACTTCAGAGAGATGTTCACTTGCATATGGTTTTTCTGTATTCACTGTATCATAATCATAAATGGGGTACATTCTTCAAAGATAAATGTTCTCATAATTTGTGTTTCATATATTTATTTTCAGTAGCAGTTTTATTTTAACAGTTTATTTCATTCTAAAGCAGTTACTTTTGACAATATTTATTAACTCTCAATCAAATGTGTTTCAGCTTGGGTCTACTGCTATAGGAATCCAGACCTCTGAGGGTGTAGTACTAGCTGTAGAGAAGCGTGTCACATCATCTCTGATAGAGCCTTCATCCATAGAAAAAATTGTTGAAATTGATACACATATAGGTAGGTTGTATGTCATTCTATTTTAAATATTATATGTGTGTTAAATGGAAGATCAATATTCTACTTGTTACGGTGAATTCAAATAAAATTCTTTGAAAACCTTGATGCCAATGGCTGTTTTTGAATTTGAATCACCCATATCTTGCTTACAATCTACCTTTTCTTGTAAAATTTGAAATCTATGATGTTTTGAATGTGTGGAATCTTCAATTTTTTCAATCATTTTTGCCCTTCAATTTGAAAAAACTATGCATTGTTTGAACTTTTTTCAGGCTGTGCCATGAGTGGTTTAATAGCAGATTCACGCACCATGATAGACAAAGCAAGAGTTGAGGCTCAGAACCATTGGTTCACATACAATGAAAGAATGACTGTTGAAAGTGTCACACAATCTGTTAGCAATCTCGCCCTGGCTTTTGGTGATGATGATGCCGGACCAGCCATGGTAAGAGAAACTAGTTAATACTTAGTACATCTATATGTACAATACAATTGTATACATTTGAATTCAGTGATCTCCAGCATTTATGGAGTTTCCAATTGGCAGTGCACCCACTTGAGATTTATAGTCGACTAGTACCTAGTGGAACATTCATAAGCAACCAATTCTAGAATTGGAAAAATATCAAGGAAAAGTGTCGTATTTTGACAAAGTTTAGCGAGAACTATTGAAATGAGAGTTTCACTTATGTTTCATTTATGAGAAATTCTCCTGAGTAGTACATTAATTATTATATTAGATATGTAAATATTTTCCTACATTTTCCATTTTTGTTGTAGAGTCGACCATTTGGTGTAGCTCTATTATTTGCTGGTATTGATGATAAAGGTCCCCAGCTATTCCATATGGACCCCTCGGGCACATTCATACAATTTGATGCCAAAGCTATCGGGTCAGGGTCAGAAGGAGCACAGCAAGCACTACAGGAGGTTTATCATAAGGTAACAGCATCTACATCACAAAAATGGAGAATCCTCAGCCTTGAAAATGAAACAAAAATATTTCAGGCATATTGATTGAAAAGCTTGAATTTTTCAATGCTTGTTTTTCGTTTAGGATGTTTTATCCAAAATTTAATCACATTTGTGTCTTTCATAGTCAAAATACATCAAGCTAGTGATTGGGATATTTGTTCTCTCAAGTGAAACCATTTGTTGAAACTGATACAAGAATTGAAATGGTTGAAGTGATTAAAATGGTTGAAATGTAATTGTAAAGTTTTTCTAAAATTTATTAGTATCTTAACATTCATTTAATATTGTATTTAGGCTTACACATCTGAACTTTTATTATTCCTTGGATGTACTAGTATGTTGTAAAAGTGTTTTCAAATAAACCAAATACTTGGTTTGACTTTAATTTTTCCATTGAGATGTGTTCACATTAACATGTTCCGATAACATCAGAAAGAATTAATTAATAATAAAAAGTAGTGCTGGAATACCTTTGATCTAGGTTTACTATGTTCTACCTTTATTACTCTTAGGCCATGTCATTAAAAGAAGCAAAGAAGAATGCTCTAACTATACTAAAACAGGTCATGGAGGAAAAGCTAAATGCCACAAATGTAGAGGTGAGAATGAATTTAGTACAAGACCCAGTGACCCCCTCCCAATACTTGACTACACACCTTCGCAAACTTGTGGAAAGTTGTGTAGTTGGGGGAGCTCAGAAGGCTTTGTAGCTAGACTAGAATGAATTTTTTATTAGATCTCATAAAACTCACAAAACTGGCATTTCTCTGGTGTTTGCTGATGAATATTCTCATTTTAAATACATGTTTTTAAATAGCAGTCCATAGGTGCAAATCCAGTGAAATTGCCCAGACCAAGAGTTCAAGGAACCTATTTTATTTAAATTTTGAAACCAAACCTGTGTTTCATTCTCACACTGGGGTTATAATTGACTCTAAATAAATGAATCTAAACAATAATTAAGTGGAACTTGATATTTTTATATTTGAAGCTGCAATTTATATTTATTCATACTGTACGTTAGGTTTTTCGGACAGCACATATTGAACTAATTTCCCCTTTAACTCATGAATGATTGATTGCTTTCCAGATGGGTGTATGTGTCCCAGGAACTATGTTCACCATGTGTACAAAAGAAGAAATAGAAGATGTAATCAAGGACATTCAATAGAACCTAACACAAGCTAGCTGATAACTAAGATTCCAAGTCTCCAAATTAACTATAACATGATGGTAGTAGAAGTGTGTTGAACAACTACCGCTGTACATTAGTGGGGTATTTTCAATTTAGGTCAATTCAAATGACTAATGCTGGATTTTATCCTGAAAATAGGAGTGAAAAAGACAAGAGAGATGACTAAGTTTTCCAGAAAAGAGTTCTACTTTATTCCAATTACATTATTCTAATGTACTGCACTGTATTATAATTTTGCCAAAACTTTCACAAATCAGTATATCTCAGTGCATTAAGATAAAATGAGACAATGGACCAATTTAATGACTCATTAGCTGAGCTATATCTTTGAGCTCTGTGTCAAACTAAAGTTAGGCTAGGGCAAATGAATGAAATATTTAGCACATCCTTACTCATCTGTTTCAACTACATAGAATACTTCATTTAGTATTTGGCTTGATTGTACCAAGCTTCAAATATTCTGATATATTTTGGCATACTTATGCCAATAATGTAATTTTTAGGATACAAAAATAAAAGCATTCCCTCAACATTCTACTAAAACAAATTAACATGAAATTTCATTGCACTAGCCTTGCTTTGTCACTGTGGAAACAAGAGGAGTGAGAACTTTGTGAAATCATTTATATCCCAGGATTTATATTTTTGATCATGTGCAGTATAACATGCGAGAAGATCCTGTTATTTCAAAGTTTTGTACATGTTCAGGCATAGAAATAAACATGCTGAAATTATAGTCTAAATGCCAATTATTATGTTAAAAGTATATTTGAACTTCCAGTGTCTATAATAATTTTCACCAGAAGAATTGACAACTTATTTAGACCCCACATTAAAAGAATCCATAGTTCTGATCCAAGATACACGCGTGGATAACCCCAAAATATTTTAAGTTCATAATGATTGGTAATTTGAGTCATCAACAGACTTCTTTTTCTGTATTTAAAGCGTCAGAAATATAATTGCCGAAATTTTACAAACATTTTTAGACCTAGTTTTGATAGAAACTGAAAATGATATTGCATAGTGCTATACTAATATAATCTGTCTTAATCCATTGGTTTTTTGCATGATTTTAGGATTATTATTTAGTTGTCAGCAACAGTATATTTCATGTAGGTATGAATGGAAATTGTACGCGATTCACATAAACTCTTTAAAGGGGAGATACATGTAGTTAATTCCTGGTTAGATGCAATGTTTACATCATGCAACATGTACTATATAAACTAGGAATATTAGAGCCATCCCTCATTCAGTGTTTGAGTCTGGTATCGGAGATACTTGCGCCGAGCTTGGTATCCATTTGTAACTATTGTGGAGATGCCAACTAACATACAGTAAAACCTGTCTTAGTGAACACCTCTCTCTAGTGAACACCTGTCCCTAGTGGACACTCTTCCTACGCACATAGTCCACTGACTTCTGTATAAATTACCCTCTCTCTAGTGAACACCTATCTACAGTGAACGTTTTTTCTTGGCAAAAAAATGTTCACTATACACAAGTTTTACTGCACTCATTACTCATATACGACGTCATATGCGTCAAATACTCCCAATTCATCCAAATTACAATTCTAAAAATTGTTGGTAGATCAGTTTAACATAATAACGTTAAATACTCTCTCGGTTTGCGTCAAAAGGGAGGTTAAGCTATACGTTTGAAGAAAACATGTACATGAACATGTAATATTTTCACCTCCAAAGTTCTCTTAAAACGTATAGGTTAACCTCCCCAATGTTCCGCAATTAGAATTATGCCTCGATCATATATAAATAGGGATAAGCTGAAGGGCGACCCGTATTTTTCGATTTCAGGGAACTGGAGCTGCCTTTTATCTTCTCCATATAGATGGACTAGATGTATAGTTACTGTATCATCTTTTTATAAAACATTACACATAGGCGTAGCCAGCGAGGGGGGGGGGGTCATGAGAAAGAAGAAAAGAGCTTTAAAATGCTTTTTATTTGAAGGAAGTTGCATCAAATTTTGTAGAATTATTTTTTGGCTTGTTTTTTCCACAATCGCACCCCCGACTTAAAACCGAAATTTCTTGGGAGATCGCACCCGCTCTGACTAAAAGCTGGCTACGCCACTGTAACAGAAAGATGTTGTTATGGGTTCCGTTTTCTGTGACGGCGGTCGACGGGTACAACTTCCAATAACTTATCAAATACTGTTTAGACTGATTTCAGTTTTCTTTTAAAATTACCTACAGTTCTCAGAAGTTCAAATCTAACTTAAGATTTGAAATGTGGCCTTCAACGACCTTCTCAAGGTCAAAAAGCTTCAAATTGACCATTTTTTCAAAATCATCTACAAGTTCTCAGAAGGTCAAATCTGACTTGAGATCTGAGATTTTACCTACAACGACCTTCTCAAGAAAATGGTGTTTTTTCATCAAATTGAGCATTTTTTTCAAAATCATATACAAGTTCTGTCTCCAGTCTTCAGTTGCAAACAACTCCCGGGAAGCGACTATACTGGGGCCGATTATTGTAGTTCCAGTACTGCCGTTGGCTCATATAGTAACAAATACAGGCGTTTGACTCCAGACGTCTCCCATAGCTTGCAATGTGTCATGTAATCCTTAATAACCATAAATACCTGAAATTAAAAATCTTTTCTGAGAGTGAGTAAGCAGTACAAGTTCCAAAAAGAAATCAATTTACACTTTTTCCAAATGCAACACGAACGAAGCTTCAGTAATTCACAGAAATTAGCTTTCATATTCAGTTACTTTTTTTCAATCGCAGCTGTGAAAATATGATCATATTGTTACTTTTTTTAGTGTACATAAAGCTCTCTTTTAAAGGAAAGGGCAAAAGACTTACAAATATTAACAATGATATGATTGACATGCTCGGATCGTGTAGGTCTAAAATATCTGTAGTCAACATGTGAAATCGGTTTCATTTTTGTTTGGACCCTAAAGATTTTCATTCTTTTATCGTCAGAGATATGTTTGGTGTCTATAGAACGTTCAATCGTATGCACTATTAATATAATCTTAATTTCCGTAGGACAAGGTCACCATTTTCATGAAATGGTCTGTTTTATTCCGTATTAATGTAAACAAAAGACAAGCTCGTTTGGGAGTGATAGAAATTCTAATAGATGGCCCCATTAATGAAACTACTCGCCATTTTTTAATAGAAACCTTGTTATGATTATTAATGTGTTTCTAAAATTAATACTGCGCGCAAATCCATATTGTGTTTGACCAACTGTTTGCAGAACAATGGAATGCGAAACAACTATATTGAGTTATCATAAAACCAATAGACAATAGTAAATTGACACGTATCTAATATCAGAGTGTATTGTTTATTATAAAATATTAATACTATGTTTGTTGCTCGACTCGCTGGTTTATTACCGCAGTATAAAACACAACGAGAGCATCGTATTTGTTCAGTTGACTATATCATTTAACACAGAACAAGTGCAAAATATGGTTTGATGTAATGGCATATACTAATACCAACAATCTCGAGTTTAAGAGCGATGTAGAATTAATGAAAAGGATTTATAAAGACGTCCCAAAGGTGTCTAATGCCCATGAACACGTGAATAAGGAATTTGTAAACATTGAAGAAGTTGTGGTATCTGATTCGCGAGAAGATACGTTAGCAGATATTGCACAATATTGTGGGATTGCCGATGCCCTAGATGGGGATAGACTACCAAAAGATACTACAGAAAACCCAGATGGGAATCTAGAAAAGGCACTTGATAAAACGCAGTCTGTTAATAATAATCAAAGTGAAACCGATATAAACGCTCAAACCCCCAACTCAGGGCACAAGTCAGTTGATACTGCCAATCAAAAGGAGTTCAATGTAAGCAAAGGAGATGTTCTCATGGCGGCAAATGTTCATGAACTTGAACTTGGAGCAATTGAAGAAGTTAAACAAGGTGTCGAGGTGAACACTACAAATGTAATCGATCTTCTCGACTACGATATTGTACCTGACCTTGTCATGGATTTACGTGATGATTTGCCCGAAGATAGAATAAGTGGACAAAACGCGAATACAAACACACACGGGACATCATGCCAGAGTATTCTAGATTCCAATCAATTTCCCAACGTTGATGTGGAGACAGAATTGAACATAGCTGTTATTGACAAAGAAAACACAAATAGTGAACATGCAACAAATCACGGTCAAAATACCACTAAGGCTACGAACAAGTCAAAACAAACAAGTAATACGCCACATACAAATAAAGATCAACGGGCAGAATCTATTTCTCATCAACAACAAACGTCATACCTCTATAAGGCTATGCATGGCGATTTAGAGGAACTACAACATGAAAAGCCGTCCGATCCAAAGGAAAAACCATCCGATCCAAAACCAGTAGCTACAAAAGATATACAGGTGTGTAAATTGACTCATGATATACCTGCTAAAATTTCAGAATTAAAAAAGCCACATCCCCCATTACCTGAATTGAAAAACATCTGTAAAAAACTATTTGAGCAGATGCCAACAGCTATTAATATTCAACGCGAGGATGGTTCTAAAGAACAAAATGAAGCGATCGTAACAATACCAATAAAAAAGCGGCAAAAATGTAGACCTTCGAATATACGTCCTGAAATGGACAGTCCTGACAGCAATGGATCAAAGAGACGGATGATTTCCTCCAACAATTCAGGCGACGTGTACAAAATGAATATGAAGTATATCTATATTGATATGGGCACTAGCTTTGATTCCGACTCTGAATATCACCAATTGACCCGTGCCCAGAGAGAAGCTTACATTGAGTTTCGAAAAGAAGCAATGAGACACCGTAAAGGAAACAGAGGTTTTCCCAATCCCATGCGTCCTAGGAATTTAATCAGAAGTCCAGAATTACCAAATGACTTTAATTCAATTCCAGTTAAACATTATATGAACAACTCCAGTCAACTTCCAGGTGTTCATAATGACATTTGCGTTGACTTTAATTCAGAAAATGAGTTTTCGGAAAAATCTAATAACCGAGCTGTTATAGATGATATTGATGAAGACGTTCCCATGGATTTAAGTGTACCTAAAGTTTCCCAATCGTCGGGTCATAAGCCCTTACCTCCGTTGATCTACATTGATGGCATTGATCCAGACATTGGAGGACAAAACCACCAAAAAAGAAACGAATCTCAACGTTCTGACACTGTCATATCTGAACACTTAAATAACTTTATGTGGCAAAAAATCAAACAAATGAACGATATGTTCACGTGTAGTACAGAAAAGATATGTTGTATGAACAATCCGTCTGCACCCGAGAATCCACAGTGGAATGGGCAGTGTTTGCCCCATGAGAGAATAATGACAGCACCTACTGGCATGACTACCTATCAAAACGTTGAAGGCGACACATCAAGATTTACCCAAGGGGGATCAGTCAGACCCGGAGGCAAAGTCCGTTCAAAACCGAATAATGTTCCATTTATCGCATCAAAATATTGTAAAATTCCATCCAATGCCGAAAATGCTGTTTTTCAACCGGACCCTGTCAAGAATTCAATGATAGTTAATTCACAAATGGCGACAACGCCTGTAAAAACCGTGGCAACGCCATTGAATTCACCAAACTTTGCCATGCAATTCAAAACACCAAACACAACAATGCAATTCAATTCTCCGAACGTTCCAATGGCATTAAATCCACATAACGGGACAATACCGTTCAATTTCCAAAATGCGACAATGCAGTTGGGTCCCCGAAATGGAGCCATACCATTCAATGTTGGAAGTGGAAAAATGCAATTCAATTCCCAAAATGTCACCACGCCATTTAATTCCTCAAATGAGAATACGTCATTCAAATCAACTTATGGCGACATGCGATTCAGTTATTCAAATGACTCCCCTAATCGGACCGTGTCCTTTAGCCCCCCAGATGGGATCGTGCCGTTTAATTCAGCAAATGAACGAATGTCATTCAATTCAACAAATAAGGCATTGTCTTTCGATCCAATGACAGGGACAATGCCAGTTATTTTACCAAATACGACGTTCAATTCACCAGATGGAAACAGTATACCATTCAATCCAGGAAACGGGGATATCCCTAATGTGCCGACAAATGGGATATCCTTTGATTCTCAAAATGATGACATTCCATTTACTTCGCAAAATCCGACCATGCAATTCTGCTTACCAAATGGGAAGATTCCTTTTAAATCATCAAACGGTACCATGCCTTTTATGTCCCCAAACCCAACTATGCCATTCAGTTCACCGAATGCAACATTGCAATCAAGTCGTTTGATGACACCACCCAACACGCAAGAGGTACATGTAGGAAGGATGGACATGTCGTCAATGTCATTCTCGTCGATGAAGTCACAAAATACCAATGGACCGATCCACTTCCCCTCTCAAAGACCCAACTCACTTAGCAACAACCACACAAATCAACAAATTCCTCCCTTCAACAAATCAAACAATATTCATGGTAGATTTAATGTTCCTATGCCTGACGAAATCACAGATCATGGGCTGAATTCGAACTATTTCAATAATAATCCAAGTGAAATGGTAAACCATCATATTCAACAACAAAACTCTCCGAATCAACATCAACAATTTCAACAGCAAAAGCAACTACAAAACATTCATCAGCAAGTCCCCTACTTACACCAAACAGATATAGGTCAGCAAAGCTACAATACAAGAGTAAAATCAGTTGCATTCCGACCAGATTTTACAAGAATGAATTTCCAGCAGCATAAGGGAACCAATAGAAACTACAATTCTAGACCACGTTGTTCTATTAAACCAACACAGCGTAAGGTTTACTCAAAACAGCAACATAATTTGAAAGAACATAATAAGGTCAATAAACAACAAGAAATAAAAGTCAAAGAGCAAGTACAAAACAACACATCATTACAACAAACCACCGCAACACATCAGCAAAATGCCAAATCACAACAACAAAACATGACATCACAACAACAAATTGTCACATCACAAAATACAATATCACAACAAAATGCCATATCAAAACAACAGAATGTGTCTCCAAAACAACCAAATGTCACATCCAAACAACAAACTGTCATACTACAACAACAAAGTCCAAAATCTACAACATGAATAACAAACCATCATTTTTACTACAATAAAAACAAAGATTGGTGATGTTTGGGGTGCAACCCTAAATATTTCACTTGATGACATGGTAACCCTAATTATTTCACTTGGTGACATTGTAACCCTAAATATTTCACCCGATGACATTGCAACTCTAAATATTTAAGTTGATGACATTGCGACCCTAAATATTTCACTTGATGATATTACAACCCTAGATATTTCACTTAATGCCATTGCAACCCCAGATATTTCACCTGATGACATTGCAATCCTAGATATTTCACCTGGTGACATTTCAACCTTAGATATTTCACTTGATGGGATTCCAACCCTAGATATTTCACTTGACATCATTGCAACTCTATATATATTTCACATGATGACATTGCAACCCTAGATATTACATCAGATGACATCTGAAGACATTGCAACCTTTGATATTTTACTTGATGACATTGTAACCCTAGATATTTCACATAATGGCATTTGCAACCCTAGATATCTAACCTATTGATATTGCAACCTTATTTATTTCACATGAAGACATTTCATCCATAAATATTCCACCGCTAAATATTGAACTTGAAAACATTTTGCATCCATCGGAGGATATATTTAAAAGTAAATACCTGTACTTCACCGAAGACATTCCACCCCTCTGTATTTCATCTGACTATTCAGACGATTCCAAACTAGATATTTGATCTGAAGATGTTTCAACCCTTGATATTTCCCCAAAGTTAGTTTATCCCTGAATATATCATTCCTATTTTTAGTTGACAACAAATTAATGAATATAACATGATTGGATTGTCTCTTTTTCCTCAAAATGTACAAATATGTATGATACATAGTGACCTTCAACATGTTAAGTATTCAGTCTGCTCTGCTTATGTAAACTAAATCCTATTATTGATGTTTATTCAATAAAATATGTGTTTATACAACAAATGAGTTAGTACAATTATGGATTTGTGATGTTAACAACATTTTAAATGTTGTTCAAATTGGCAATGTGTTTCCTAATGAGTTGGCAAATTCACACCGGAATAGCCTGACAACGGTAAAGTCATATACATGTACCGTTGTCACAAATGGCAGACATAACCATTGCTTCAACTCTTTAATCACTTGGTTCTCATTTCATGGACACTTTGATTGATTGTTGTTCCAATTAGTCTACAGTAGGTGCTCTATTAAACATACAGTTCATGAAAATCTAGTTGAAGCAACGGTTATACCTGCAATTTGTCACAACGGTATCTGACTTAGCTTTACTGTTGTCAGGCTATTCCGGTGTGAAATTAATTTGTACTTTATTATGTAGGCTAAGAAAATATTTCAAAAATACTTCATTTGTGGGTTTGAAAATTGATGTTATGTGCAAATGGATTGAAACGTTGTTGAAAAATTCATCTTCAACTTCCAAGGTGTTATAACAAGTTGGAGCAACTGAAATCTTGTGAATCGAGATGGAAAACTTGGTACACCATAAAATTTCTAGAAATGCGACTACTAGGAAATATGTTTTCATGTTTGTGCTGAAAAGCATGTTAAACTGATATTTAATTAATGTAAACTGTGTCATTATAGAATGGATTATACTACTATTTTCACAATTTTATTGGTATTAGGAGTCAACTACACACATATGACATGCCCGTAGCCAGGGGTGGTTCGCAGGGTTCGGGCGAACCCCCCCCCCCCTGGCCAAAAATTCTTTCAAAATCATGCAGTTTTTGACCATTTTGAGCACTTCTCAAGTGATTTTAGCCAAATTTGGGCCAAAATTGTCAAATGTGAACCCCCCCTGGAAATTTTTGAAAATTGAACTGGCTACGGGCCTGTATGAATATATTTGTAGTCCTAAAACGGCTTAGTTTTAGAAAAATCCCAAATGAGTGGTATCAATATGGAGAACTTTTTGAACACATGTTTCTCTTAAACCAGTCGTAAAAAAATCTAAAAATTTAACACATCGTCAATTTTATGGTCATCTTTTGGATGATAACAATATAATTGAAAAATATATATATACTTTCATCTATATTGTTTTAGAAAACACACCAAATACTTGTTTTGTTCTTGGTATCATGTTTCCAGAGTGAAATGAAACATCTTTCCAAACCTCATTGGAACAAAACGACATAAACACAACATGTTTAGGTCTCTCAATATTGTAATTTTAGAAAGGAAATTTTGGTTGATTTTAAAAAAGAATATTGTTAATGAAATAAAAGGTTTACCTTGATTTTTATCTATTTTGGGGGGATTTTGTTTTAATTTTTTGAATACTCTTTTAAAATCAACCAAAAATTCCTTTGTATAACTATAATATTGAGAGGTCTAAAAACATGTTGTATATGCTATTTTGTTCCAACAAGGTTCGTAAAGACATCTTATTTCATTCTCAAGAATTGGTAGAAAGGAGCAAAAACAATTGCACTAAAAAAACAAAAAATGTTAACAAAAACAGTTATATAAAATATTTCTAAATAATTTTCGCATCAAATTGTTGTCAATCAGTCAACATTATATAAAATACCGTGTTTTTTTACAGAATGTTTTCAATGATTGGTTTAGGAGAAAAACATTGTTGAATTCAGTTCTCCATATCGATACCAATCCTTTAAATTCAAAAATGACCGTTGCATCCAAACGTAACGCTCAAATCTGCCACACCAAATACTTCCCACAGGCTCCGTCTGCATAGGTTGATATTGGTGGAATAAATACAACGTCATCATGCTGATACTAATAGATTCTAATGGATAAGTTCATTTTGAACATTGGGAAAGGCACAAAACAAATACTATGTGGATACTATGTGGATGCCAGTTGAAAATAATATTTGCCTTTCATCGAATTCCATTAAATTGGTAGTCTGTCATTTTTTTAATGTGGTAAATTAAATAATACAATAATTCTTTTATGGTAGGCATTAACAGATATCAGATCAAATGGCATGCTTCAATATTTTTGAGACCACTGTTAGTAATCTCAAAGAGGATATCATTAACTCCAACAAAACAAATGAGGAAACCATGGCGGATTTTAATGAAAAATAGCAGAGTGGGCACTGGGCTCACAGGGTGTTGTGTAACTAGCCTAGTTTTCTGGACAAAAAGTCCAAAATTGCAACCTTATAATTTTCCAGGAATGTCCAAAGACTGAGTGAGCATTTGATATAAAATGGCTCAAAGCATGTAAAGTAGACTTTACAGCTTTTCGGCTAAATGCAGGTTCACTTGAATCCCCCCCACCCTGGCTACAGATCTGGAATATGATTACACTGAGTTTTTTAATCTTTATCCATCACATATATTTGATATACCCTTACAATGAACAACCATTTTCACCTTGTTCATGTTTTTTTATTTTACTTTAAGGTACAATATATCTCCATAAGAGCAACACATTTAGCGTACATGGAGCATGGTACAATATGTCTCTGCATATGCATTTCCATATAGTGTACAAGGTACAACATGTCTCTGCAAATGCAAGGCATTTAGTGTACATGGTACAATATGTCTCTGCAAATGGAAGGTATTCAGTATACGTTGTACAATATGTCTGTGCAAATGGAAGGCATTCAGTTTATATGGCATAACATGTCTTTGCAAATGCAAGGCATTCGGTGTACATAGTACAACATGTCTCTGCAAATGCAAGGCATTCAGTTTATATGGCATAACATGTCTTTGCAAATGCAAGGCATTCGGTGTACATGGTACAATATGTCTCTGCAGTTTTACACCACATTGCTAGTCAATGAGTCCCCCCTTGGCCATATTAACAGCAGCAATTATTTTCAGATATGACCTTAAAAGCCCTTCAAATTGGGATGTGGAATTTTATAACCCTCTTAAAACCTGCTAAGGCACTTTAGAAGAGTTTCCTTAGAGCTTCTACCATCACCGTTCTCTTTTTCCAACTCAATATCCATCCGACCCGAAAAGAGTTGCTGTTGTTAAAATGGCCCGGAAGGACACATTGACTAGTGATTTGGTGTAAAATTGAACTTAATTTTGACCAAACACTAAATTTTGAAATGCCTGTAATTTTTTCACATTTGAGAGTTGAACCATGATACTTGGTGAATCAATGTAACTTTGGATAAGCTTTAAAATGATATATGACACATACTATGACGACACTGATATATGTCTGCCTAGGGGGGGCCCCATACTTTCGGGACACCCTGTAGTACAATATGTCTCTGCAAATGCAAGGCATTCAGTTTATATGGTACAATATGTCTCTGCAAATGCAAGGCATTCAATTTATATGCCATAACATGTCTCTGCAAATGCAAGGCATTCAGTGTACATGGTACAACATGTCTTTGCAAATGCAAGGCATTCAGTTAATATGGTACAATATGCAAATGCAAGGTGTAATGTGTTTATGCTGCTATGAGAGAATGCTGCAAATTGTAAGGTGAGATATCCAGGGCATACAGTGTTTGTCCAATTGTATAATAATGTATTCTTCTAACCCAAAAGTTGACCTTGTGTTGGCTGACTATGTATAGGACAAAAGGTTGATCTCGTAACTTCCATCCACCTGAAAAATAATAAAGAATATTTAAAAACCAAATCAAAAGACCACTTTATTTCTAAAATCGTCCATTCAATATCAATCATGATATTTTACACTGCAAGAATATTACATGTTGAGGTAATAGAATATCACATTATAAAACTTACCATTTATTTTCTTAATTATTCGCCAACATTAATTGCCCATTAATGCCATACATGTAGACAGAACAAATATGACTATTTTGTAAATTAACTTTTACATATTGATAATTGCAAAAAATAATGTGAATAAAGTTTTTAGCAATAAAAACAAACATTCAGTAGAACAGGTGGTCATACACTCTGTGTGTTTCATGTTGTATATTAGTATATTAGCATTTTTATGTGTTTGTTCACATTGAAATTTTATGTTGTTTTCTATTTGTGTTGAAATTTTATGGGATACTTTTCATGCAAATGGCTTTAATGGTTTGCAATTTCAATGTTTAATGGGACCAGAGCTAATTATTTCAGAAACTGCAGTAATAGCAACATTTATCTTAATGTTATTCACATATTGTGCTTGTAAAAATTAAGTATAGGATATCCTATGATATCTAGAGATATAATTTTCATCCTTGTGTTGATATGAATATCTGGACAAGTGAGTGTGTATGAGTGCAGATATTGATATCAATGAGTAGATCAAAATGAGTGGTCTTGTGGTATAACTTTATAATAAATATCTGTTCGGAGGACTATATCAACCACAGGCCTTTCAACTTGGGAACACCTAACATGAGTGACTTGGAAATGTTGAACACCTCCCCTCAAAATGTGGACACTTTTGGGGTTGGGGGGGGTGGGGGGGGGGGGGGGGGGGGGGGGTAGGTAAGAAAAATTTCGAACGGATTGCGTGACATATACGTAATTCGCGTGAAAAGTCCGAACGAAATGCGTACTTTTTTTTCCCGCGTTCGTATTTTTGCTGTGTAGACGATCTTTTTAAGAAATTTATCTACAGAAATATTTTTGCTTGACAATTACCAGGTAAAATGCGTATTTGCGTGACATTTTCTGTCACGCAAAAATAACTGGCGTGACTTCAAATTCTTCAGCAAATGCGTGACAAATACGCAAATTGCGGGACAGTTGACAGGCCTGCAACCAAGAATATATATCACATCAAAATATAGAATAAAGATTCCTATCTACTGTATTTATGTACTGTCAACCATCAGCCAGGAGTGGTGACATATTGTTTGAGATTAAAACAGTCTGATGTATCGATCATGACCCACATGAATGTGTAATGATGCGCATAAAAAATGCATTAAAGCAAAAACATCCACAATTTGCACTTGTGATCAATGACCTTAGGTAGTTTGTGGTTTCCATGATTTTAATATTGATTAATGTAATGATTTATGGAGGGGTTGATTGGTGACATGAAATCCTATGGATAATTTATAAAATTAACATGTCTATCAATCTTGCCAAAATGACTTCATATTTTTAAAACACTGAATTGCTGATAGAGATATCTCTCACATTACAGACTTAAAGCATTTTACCTCCTGCAACGTGAAATCACAGAGCAGGCTAAATTAACCTGATATAATTGATGTCACAGCCTCACATGTAAAAAGGATGAGGCTCACTGAAAAAGTATGCCTCCCCATGAAAAAATAAAATTTTCTCATTTAAATACAGTAGAACCTGTGTAAGTGGAACACCCTCCGTTCTGCCAAAAAACGTTCCACTTAGGAGATGTTCCACTTACGAAGGTTTTGGGTTCGCGGGGATTTAACTAACATACAAGATTAAATATAGAGTTGATATATATCACTGAAAATAAGATTCTCCGATCATTGCAGGGCAGGTATATAGCCTTAATTATCCATTTGTTTTATTCAGGTATCTGACATTCTTAATCCTCCTCATTCTGCCAAAAATGTTTTCTGATATTCTCAATCCTCCTCATTCTGCCAGTGTCAGACACTAAGATAAGGCAATTAAGTTTTAAAGACTTGTTCCTAATGCTAATAATTCAGTTGTTTTTTAACTGACATTCTAAGCTTACTTATTAAGTATGAAACAAACAGCAAGAAGTAAGAGGCAAGAGCATCACATATCCATCTCTTAATCCAATTTGCTGAATGATAATCTTATGAAATTTTAATTTGCTAATTATCAAATTAATTAGTGGTAGCATCACATGTTGATCTCTACAGGAGGTTAATCCAATTGACCATATGGTAATCCATTAAAATCCTAATTTGCCAATTATCATGTTATTACCTGTTTTCATACCCAGGTATCACTGTTGGAGGTTAATTTTGTTTACATAAGTATCACTATTGAAATTTATGGAAAATTGACTGTTCCACTTAGCAGGTTAATTTTTCAATATGGGGTGTTCACTGTTCAAGTTTGGAGGTGTTCCACTTACAGAGGTTCAATTAACATTAAGTCAATGGGTTTTTAAAACGGGACTTTGAAAAAGCGTTCCACTTGCGAGGTGTTCCACTTACGGAGATGATCCACTTAGCAGGTTCTACTGTAGTTATAAACAGGGTGGGCCAATAAAAATGGGACACTTGCAAATATCAAATTTTAAGAACTGTATATGAATCAAATGTCATGAAAATTAAGGAGTATACAGTGTGAACATTTGTGAATATACCTTGTATATTAAAATCTTTAATTCAACCAATTTATGCTTTCATTGTTTTTTGCTTGACAAAAGAAACGGGGCACATGCCCGTTAAAAACAGTTATTTATTTTGTAAGAAAGTGTGAATGTCTATCATATTAGGTAAAATTCATTATTTTTCACTATTTATTCATTATTCATTATTTTTTTAATTTGTTTTTCCTATTTCAAATTTCCCTATATAACTTTTAATCCCTTTGTCCAATTTTCAAATGCTTCATGTTACTTTGTTTGGTATCACTTGACCTTTCATTTGATGTATATAACATCATATGGCTGCCAAGGGATGTCTTATTGTCTTAGTAGTCCCTAGGCCCATCAACAGTATTTTCAATGGGGTAGTCTTCAAGGAGTTAACACTCTACTAACAGTCTTGTTTCAATCTTCAAGTACAAAAAAATAAATGATTGTACATGTGTATCTTTACTTTTACTGAAACAGTTCCATAGGCCCATACCCTCGTGCAGAGTCTAGTTAAATTACACTCTGCCTAGTAGAGACCATATTACAGTTTAGTAGCCCCGCCCCCACGATGGGTACCGCTGACAGTTTGAGTAATAAATCACTTCTGACCTATGCGCTGACCTTTCTTCCACCATTCAGCGAGCTTGAAGAAACAAAAAATGTCATTGGTCAATTCCGGGCTCAACGATGACGTCAGAAGGAATGACCATATATAGAGCATCGGTCAAATTTGGCCGACGAACACTGATTGGCGCGGTGAGTTCACAGGTTTATTTTAGTTTGAAAGAGTGAAGACGAAGCTCTCTTTTAAGAAGTGAAGTCAAACGAATGCAAAGGGTAATAGGCCCAGGAACATGTATCAAAAAATTATGTCTGAATCCCCTAAGAATTTTTTTTTCTCTTTTCAACTTGAGACTCCCACGACTCACAAATTATTCATATTCCCGGGCCTATGAGTTATTCGATATGTACAAATGTGGCATTTGTCAAATGACCATGACTGACACAGCAAACAAACATATCTATTAGGAAATATGTTAATTCAACACTGACGCACAGTATAAATGATTAATAAGAAAAACAGCAACTCCACTGAGTAGCATATCCTACAGAAATTATATTTGACCAAATCACCCTTTTTGAACATTTCATGGTAGAAATAACCATGCAGGCAGCAAGAGTGTCTCATTTTTGGCAAATATAGCAGTTGCAATTTTAATGATGACCAAATACTGGATGAGCATGGTGTAAAAGCAGTTCTGAAAAAAAATTCCATTTATGTTGGTTGTTTGTGGTTTATGATTCTACACTGATTCTGAAAAATATTGGCATCTAGATTTTCAGCGTTTTGGAAATATGCAGAATTATACCCCCTGGTGTGGTTTCTATGGAGGAGGTTCAATGAAAGTCATAAATACATAAAGTTTTAATTGGTTCAATTTATGAATTAAATGTTCATATAATTCATCACTCTTTTTTGCTTCCAAGAATTAATGAAGTATCATCTGCATATTGAATTACCTTTGTTTCATTTTTGCTATTTGTACTTACACCTTGATTTGTTTATTCTATTTCAATATTCATGATTTCAACATATAAAATAAATAATAAAGCAGATATTGGGCATTTTTTATTTTGAGAATTGGATTTGTGGTTGATTCGTTGCACACTTTATAAACCTTTTTCCAAAATTAATTTTGGAGGGCATTTAACATGAACTTCCAATTAAGACTGTCAAAAGCTTTTTTGAAGTCAAGGCTTATCATTTATCCCCTTCTATTCAAGATTTTATTGTGTTTCAAACCAAACATTCCCATAAGTCAATTGCATGACACTAATTATACATTTATACAGTTTGTTTATATGATTATGAGTATCAAAAGAAGATTAATATGTTAATTTTATGCAGTTATAATATGGGCAAATTACAAATTACAAATTAACTTCTCATCAATGTCAAGTTTTTCAATACATGAATGTTCCTACGGGTAGGCAAATATACTCATATGGTATAATATCATAAAAACCTTCTCAGAGTGATGCTAAAGTATGGGCAAATGACAATTTAATTAACTTCTCATCAATCCCAGGTTTAAAATAACAGAATGTTCCTAAGGGTGGACAAATATGTCTACAGATAAACTACTTACTGTAGATTGGGTTAATTTGGCGCTACTTAATTTGGCGATTTTGCCATTTTTGGTATATTGGCGGATATTTAATTTGGCGGATATGCAAAAAAAGTTAAAACTAGAAAATGGCAACTCCACGGAGTAGCAAATCCCAACGAACACGAAATCATCAATCTGTACAGTCACAATGGAATATTTACCATCTACTCTTACCTTCAATAAATATTTTAA